GGGCCACAGGTGACCTCTGATGATCGGTTGACATGTGACCTTTTCCCAGGTGACCTCTGATGACCTCTCCCCGGCTGACCTCTGACCCCTCTCCCCAGGTGACCGGGTGACGGCGGTGACGGTCTCGTTCGCGCACATCACCCTCGATGACGCCACAGCCATCCTCAGTCAGTCGTCTCCGTATGACGTGCAGCTGCACCTGCAGAAGGCGCCCGGTGGACAGAGGAAGGCGGCGACCCCGACCGGCACCGCCGACCGCCGCCAGCAGAGCGGAACCGACCTACCAGAGGTGCGCGGGTGGGCACGACTCGACGAACGGCGTGTGTTTTTTAACATATGTAAATTATGCTGAGCGGTGCCCTGGTGTATGACAATAAGTCCTCGGACGTCGGATGAGACAAATGCTCTTTTAACTTGTCAATGTGCGTGAGAATGTGTAGCTATTTTCTTTGATCTTAATATAGGGTCGATAGTTTTTAGACAGAATGAGGGCAAAACCTTTTACAAAGTTTTCCACCAGCTGCAATGTTCATGCTGGCTCCTTATGATGAACGTTCACTCTCTCAGGGAAAGTCGCACCGCGGCGGCCGGTCGGACAGGTCACCCACCACCAGCAGTCCGTCCAGCGCCAGCAGCTCGGGCCAGCCGGAGAGGAAAACGGTCGCCGCACCGAAGGCCGGGAACGAGCCCCGAAAGGAAACGGTCCAGCATGTGCAGCGCGACGCCTCGGCTGCTGGCTCCACCTCGGAGGGCTTCCGGGAAATGGCAGTCGATGTTCCCGAGGACATCAGTAGCTCACATGAAAAGAAAGACGTAAGAAGCTAGGGACACCAATTAGCTTTATATCCCTAGGGCGATTTTCGGATCAACGAGAGGTGCCGTCACACCTCACCCATCATCTATTAAGAAAATAAATCGCTTTTCATTATAATGTCAAACCCAATTTTATTGATGACGTCTTTTCTTTAACCGAGTGCTACGCGACATTGGAAGTCAAGGTGAACGACGTTAACGCTGACACTCCCCTGACTCACTGCCCGTCTGTTTCAGACGGAGGCCTCCTCCTCGGCGAAGGCCCGCCACCTGGGTGTCCAGGTGCTGCCCCCTCTGATGCCCTCTGGATCCGCTGGCTCCGGATCCACCGGGTCCGGAACGCCCGGCTCCGAGTCGGGCCGGCGCAGTGTGGCGCTCGGTGTGCCCTCCCTGCGTCTAGCCTCGCGGGACCCGGCCGAGCCGAGCCTCGACGCCTGTCTCACCCGTCTGGCCAACGACCAGCCGTGCGGCCGGGACCTGGACGACGAGACCGGCGAGCCGAGCACCCCCAGTGCCGAGGAGGGCGACCACCGGCGCGTCCGCATGGGCACGTCCAGCTTCAACACACAGGAGCGGCTGGCCAGGAGGGAGGTGGAGGACCAGCCTGACCGACCCGAGCCGGCCAAGCGGCAGAGGAACGCCGGCGACAACACCCTCGAGAGGGAAGGAAAGGAGGAGAAACCCCGACACCAATCCGAGTCGTCCGATCAGAGCGATGCCAACATAGGCTCGAACAATGAAGGGGAGCTACAAGCATCGCGAGATGCCTCATCGCCAGAGAAACAAACGAGAGAGAAGGAAAGTCACGATGACGTGGAGTTTGGGAAGCTGAGCAGCGAGTTTAACACCCTTATCCAGGACGAAAAGCCACAGACTGATGATTCTGGTACCAAAGGAATTCACAACGACAGTGCTGTGGAAAAGAAAGACACGAGAAGCCGTAGCTCAAGCTGCAGTTCAAAGACAAGCTCTGGTCCCTCGAGCCCCGTCCAGGAGCGGCCGAAGCAGATGTCCTTTGAGCTGCCCGACGAAATGCTGTTGGCTGCGGGGGTGGCTCAGGACAGGAGGAGCCGGGTGGACCGGCCGGCGCGCAGTGCCCTGTTCAGCAGTACCGAGGTCCTCACGGACCAGCTGACGACTCCAACCGAGGAGCAGCCAGCGTCAGACAGTACAGAGGTGCTGGAGGACAAGCGGGAAACTCCTGAAAACGAGCGAACGCCCCCAGTCGCGATGCCACGAACGGTGACCCCAGACAGTCCTCAGTCGGAGGGCGGAAAGGAGGCCTCCGAGGTCGAGCATGTAGACGTGTCCGATAGAAAAGACGAGCTAGAGAATGACAAGGAGACTGGGAAGTCTCCCGTGGATCAGGCTAAAGACGAGGTCAAAGTAGTGGAAGAGGAAGAACTCACGAAGACTGTTCGATCTGTCACTGCTTATCAGGATGAGACATCATCACCGAAAATGAAGATTGACAAGCTAGATGCGTTTAAAGAAGTGCTTTCACTCACACCCTCAAAGTCTCCAAAAGACAAACGGATAAAGCCGGATGAAGATGTCGACGTTGTCGGTGAGACGGTGGAGAGGAACCACGTGGACCGATGTCCGTGTGAGGGTCCGACGTCCACCAGCACCGCTCCCCGAATCACCGGAGAGGTGACCGGTCTGATCGAGGTCGGGGAGAAGAGGTCGCCGAGGACCGAACCGGTCATCGTGGCAGCGACTGAGAGCCGGCGGCTGCAGGCGAGCTCGGAGGAGAGGATCGCCCCTCCGTCTGCCGCCGCTGTCAGTCGCGCCCGCTCAGAGGCGGCCGCGCTGCCGGAGGCGCTCAGAGCCGTGCGCGCCGTGCGGCGGCGAGACAGCGGCGGCCCGGTGGCGGAGGTGCTCGCCCGGGACGCGGCGGCCACCAGCGGCCGGCTGTGCGCCTCCACCGGCGACCTGACCCGCTCAGAGCCGCCCAGGGCCGACTCGCCGCTGGGCCGCACAGTCTCCATGCAGATCGGGGTCGGGGACCAGCCGGACGGCGGCTCGCGCGTCTCGGCGGCGGCCTGCGCGCGGGATCAGATGGATCTGACCCGGCTGGGTCAGCAGGAGGGGTACGCAGCGGCCCAAAACCGTCACATCATGTCCGTTACCTCGTCCAACGAGTCGCTGGACACGGGGTCCATTCAGGAGGAACCGGAGAACGAGGCGGACCAACTCCCTCCGCCTGTAACCACTAACGGCATCAACCACCACGGGCCGGAGGACGAGGAGGAGATGCCAGCGCCGCCTGCTGTTCCAATAGATGACACACCACGGAAAGAGTTGGATGTGCCTGTGAATGGACTGGATACCCATGAAGAGCGATCTAGGCACAGCTCAGAAGAAACTGAAGACGCTAAGGCGGAGGAGAGGACTCCGCCAGCATTCCCGCGCATCGTGCGATCTGAGCTAAAGCGAAACTCAGACTCCGATAGCTCCGATGGGAGAGAGGAATCGACCGTCGAGAGCTCATCCACTCGCACATTCTCTGTCGACTCGATCACAGCGCCCTCTGTGGTGTCCGTGGTTCTACCAGTTATTCATGAGCCCGCCGCTGAGCCCAAAACTGAGTCAAACTCATCGCCCAGCTCATCAGCCGAATCCGCCGAACTGTCTTCCACCGCCGCCCCTGGGGCAGCAGATCTCTCTGCAGCGCCCTCCGAGTCGGGTGCGGCTCCGGAGTCAGAGTCACCTGAGTCGGAGTCTGCGCCGGCCCGCTCCCGTCGAGGACCCCCTCCGAACCCTCCGCCGCGCTCCCCGGCCAGTCGACAGGCCCGGGAGCCCGACCAGTTTGAGATCAGCGCGACCGAGCTGGACTCTGTGATGATCTCACATGAGGAGTTCCTGAGACAGGAGGCCGAGCGGCGCGCCCACGTCTGCCGTCTGGCGGCCAACTTCAGAACCAGTCGAGAGCCCAGCCCGGCGCCGGAGTAGCGAGCTGACAACGAAGGTCGTGTGGTGAGGGCGCAGAGCGCTCATACTTTGTAGTCCGTCTGGTAGGGACGAAGAGACAGTGAGATATGACAGTGGCAAAGCTGACATTGGAGAGTGGTGATAGACTCAGTGTCCCGTATACGTCGGGTGGGTTTAGTGATCCACGTTTACCTGGTTGTGACAACACAACCTTATCAGTGACATTAATTAGAATGAGAAATGACGAGCAGAGAGTGCTGCTCTCTATTGTGATGCGTGTTTTGCACTAGATTCCATTGACGCTAGCCATGTGAAACGATTCGTTCTCTTGACTTTGTAAGCCTGCGCTTTTGATAGGAAATTACGGTACTATTCTTCTTTGACTCGTCTATTTTTAGACTTTTTATAACTATATTTCCTTACTTGTAGTAGCTAGAGACTCATCAAATGTGACGTATGGGTGTTGATGCTGAGAGCAAGTGAGGTGACGCTCCATGGAACCGTCCAAGAGCTGGAAACAGATCTGAGCTCCCAAGGCTACCGAGTGGCCTGACAGTGGTTCGTCCAGGGCCGGTCCTGTGGGGAACGGACCGAGACTCTCGATAACTGTGACTGTGACTGTGTGTCTGTGGGATGTCCTGTGGAGACCCGCAGTCCTCGTGATAATATTCCGTCCAACTGATACACCACTCCGGCCAAGCCATTCAGAAAGACTTTTAAAGGTAGGAACTAGTTTTGTATGATTGATAGACGGTACTTTTTATCGGACTACATAAGTGAACATCGTCATGCCGTTCGTAACTATGGATAGTGACTGAAGAGCTGCTGACTGTACTCCAATATACAGACTGGAGTAATTCAAATGTTAGTTGTCTACTTTTTCCAAAGTGTAAAAGCGATGAATAACTCAAGATTCGAGCATTAGCGCGCAATTGTGATCTCTGCGAGACACTCGGTGATAATCAGAGACCAGACGCTTGTGATTTGCTTTTCTGAGAACGGGGTAACGGTTAAATGTGACTGCGCCTGTGAGACTGGCTGGCATTTGTAAATAAGGCGTCGTTATGAAGTTGTGGGAACGTGAGCCAATGGTAGCTTGTAAACTTAGGAACTCGAATAAAGTTCTACATCAAAAATCTACTTCTTTTCGTGTGTGTGTTTTTTGCGACCTTATCTATCATATCTGTCGTAAAATATAATATTAACATTTGCACAACCACGGCTACCTTAGAATTAATGCTGTTAGTGACAGCTTTTGGTAAAAAGTTGGCGTGTATTACAGAAATTAACACATTTCACAATTGCACTGATATCAAATGTAAATTTACACTCACATTTCACAGCTCCGAAATACACTTTGCAATTGAGAACATCGCATAGACTCATTTTAACTCGTTTTCTAACAAGCTGTTGAAATTGATTAAAATGATCTAGTCACCCCTATCCTGTTGATAGAGGTCAAATAGTTAAATAAGTATAAGACATAAGTGCAATATTTAGTTGTGATCCAGTATTGACAAAAGAGCCGTGTTTGGAGGCTTAAAAAGTCAATCAACATGTTTTTAAAGCGTAACAAGAAATGGCTTCGTGAATAAGAAGTTACCTCGTCAATAGCAAACACTATAGTGATGTTATAAACTCTATGGCACACACAGAAAGAGAAGTTCCCACCAATCAGCGCGGCCTGGGGTCGGATTTGGTTGTTATTTGGGGGAGTTACGGCGCTGCAGGCACGCTCGGCCGCGTCTCCTGTAGTTGCAGCTCAGTCCGTCTTGTCTTCCTGCCGTTTACAGTCCCGGGGGAGCGGACCTCTTCTGTAAACAGAGAGACGGATATGTGGTGTTATGGAGGTGGCGAACAAATTTACAGGTTTAGCAAATAAAAAACTGAGCACGTCAATTTCAAACGTTCAGTGTTCACTCTCATCGCGGATTGTGGCGTAGCAGGGCCAGGCACCGCATACCGTGGTGTCAATTTTGCGTAAATTTATAAATTGAAAGCGCTACATCTGCTTTGTATTACTCTGCGACAGTCGGATCGATCCATGCTGAACCGTCTGATGTTACCTCGAACATGTTATCGTCCCAGCTGGGGAAGAGCGCCTTGAAGGAGGGCGGCTCGCGGGCCTCCGGGACGCGAATCACCGTGGTGTCCTCGCGGATCGTCATGTCCGACTTGACGTATTTCTGAAACATTAAACAGCGATCAGCGAGGTGGTTTACAGCACACTCGCTTTGGCACACATACGTCAAGACATGCCCTTGTCAGAAATGAGTCGAGGGGTCTTCAATAACGTATTTCGTGCAAACAGCAGGTAGCTGAAAGTTTATCATTTAAACGGCTACTTCTAACATTATTCACTATTAGTAAGGTTACTGTCATGTTTCGCCAAGGACCAGAGCCGGATATCACTTACCGTGGCATACTGGAAGGTCTTTTCCTTCTCCTGTCTGCTGGCATCTTTCCCGATCCAGCAGTAGACCTCGTCGCCAGTATCGACAATCATCACATCGTCCTCATTCAAATCCTGCAGAAAATGCCGAAAAGATTGGTAAGTTAATACATAATCGCTGTATGTACATTGTACATACGTCATATGCGGTTCTTGAATAAAGGTCGTGAAGGCATTTGGACATTTGGTTTAGCGGGTGTGGGGGGGGGGGAGCCATACGTTTTTTAGCATTTTCAATGCTGATGACAAGCAAGATGTCAGATTTCTCGCAGAAAAAAACGATATCGTGACTATTCGAATCATCCATGGCATGCGGCACAGTATGGTTTCAGGCGCTTACTACCAGCGCCATCTATGAATAGAATGGTAAGCAGGCGCTCAGTGGACCTGTTGCTGGACGAGCAGTTACATTTTCAAGGGCACAGTAACTGCCTCCTTCAATTCCATCAGTTTGAGTAGGGGAATACAACACAATCACATTCCTTTGTTTTAGCTAAATTTCATTTATATTTCATTCAAGAAATTTAATCCGTTTTATTGAGTACCGAGCTAAGAACCGTCCGAACCTGTATTAAAAAAAAAAATCTCCCAGAAGTGCGACAAATGCCTACCTGTGCCAACACATCACTGTCCTCCCAAGTCCCACATCACTCACGTCCTGCTCGAAGCCCTCCACCTCCTCCACGATGAACTCGCCGGCCACGTTCTCGAAGCAGTGGATGAGTTTCTTCTCGAGGGGTGGCGCTGTGGGCTCGGTGACCTGCTGCACCTCACTGGGGTCACCGGCCAGCGCGGACCAGAACTCCGCCGGCTCGCCACCCTGCACCACGGACCGGTAAACGGGGTCAGAACGGGGTCACGGATGACGATCACACCGCACAGCATAGACCGAGGTGAGGCAGGCGTGAGGTGATGCCTCGGATAATATGTATAACGTCGGCAGGTCATGATATTTTGCACTTCGCAGTGTGGTCATCAGAGTTCTCACCTGGTTGATTTTGACCGGAGACCGTCCGGGAGATACCAGAGAGGCCACGTTGTCTGCCATCGCCCTCTCCTCGTCACAACATTCCTGAAGTAAGAACACTCAATGTCAAATGTGTTTCATTTATAGCAACAATCACGGTAAACATTTGAATGAACTGAATCACCTTTCATACGAGGAAACGGTAAACGACTCGTATGTCACAATTTCCTATTTCGCCCTGCACCGCGCGCCACGTTACTGACCTTGCCGTACCAGATGAAGGTCTGTTTGGGCGTCTCCAGCACAAACACGTCGTCGTCGTTGAGGCTCTTGGTCTCCTCGGGCACCTGGACGGCACGTGTGTCCACCTCGCTCGTGCCGCACACGTGGAAGAGCCGCGTGCCGTCCACGTCGTACGTGTCGTGGTCGTGGATGTTCTTGAAGCCGCTGGCGTGGCCGCCCATAAACACGATCATTTTACCTGGGAATCGTAGCGCGGCAAGGGGGCGTGAAAGAGACTGAAAAGAGATATCCCCTGACGGCATGAAGACATATCTGACAGAAATGAAAAGGTTTTAGACGGTACAGACAAAAATGAAAAAATGCTGTAATTTATTGTACAAGTTATAAAAAAAACTGTCGAACGTGAACGTTTTCCACCGTCCAGTGACATAGGCTCTGATTGTAGTGAGAGCGCCGTCGTCTCACTCACCCTTGAACAGCGTGAGGAAGTGCCGCGGCTCCCTTCCCTGGACCACGCGGACCTGCACGGCGCGGCCGCACAGACCGTCGTCCATTTTCACGGCGTGCAGCGCCGCGGCCGCCCGCTCGTCCTGGCTGCTTTGGTTGCCCTGGATGGACAGATACAGGAATCAGAGACAGGTCACATTTGTTTCAGTTGCAGCTGTGGTAAAACGTCGATTTCCTGTCAGAGGGAAAGTTCATACAAGTATGCTTACAAATACATTCAAATTAAAATGCATATTTTCAACAGGCTAACTTTTACAGGCTCCCAGATGAAACTGACCTCCAAACGTTTTACGATGAATGCATGCATGAAACGATTTTTGAAGTTATTACTGACCTGCCAGAAGTAGATAACATAGTGATCCCTGTTGAATTTCTGGTAGGTGTATTTCAGCAGGTACGAGTCGCCGCCGAAGAACATGCCGTATGTCTCCTTCGGCACCAGCACAGGCTCAAAGTTCTCAATCCTATCAAACACGGATGACTCATTATTATACGACTATGGGAAACTATGTATTTACGTCTCTTTCTGCATTTTGATCCAATCACGTGACTGCCAAAACATAATTGTTTCAATTTGTCCCCAATAACGTCGAAGGTAACTGCAAATACCTAAAGATCTCCACCTGGCCCGAACCGTCGTCCGGCATGAACCCGAGAGCGCAGCCGAACGACTTTTGCACCAGGTGACGCCGCTGTTTGGGCGGACGAGACTCGAGGTGCACAGAGACCGGCACGCTCTCTGGGAAAAACGGACACATCACAGCCGTTAGACTGGTTCGTCATCCACTCAGTCAGGCAGGAGACTAACAAGCTCAAGGTAAAAAGTGAGAAACAGAATCGATAGGCAAACTTGTAAAGCAAACTGAATGTCAGTAACATTTACGAGCTTTAGATTTTTCACTAATATTGGTTTCAATATCATTATTATAGAATAGACAGTTTGGGGAGATCACACATGCGCTTACTGAGTAACGGTGTTTCCATCATCAGTACGAACCTGCGATCTGTTCCCGGGAGTAGATGCGGCCCAGTCCGACCTGAGCATCGTCGTCCACCCAGCGGCTAAAGTACTGTTTGAATACGGCCGGCTCCGCGTCCTCCACTACACGCTCCACCTGAGGTCACGGTAGGTCAATGGAGGTCATGGAAAGTCACATCAGTATCCTCCACGACACATTCCACTTGAGGTCACCAGAGGTCAGTGGAGGTCAGGGAAGATTGGAGTAGGTCAAATGAGAGTCCTCCACGACACGCTCCACCTGAGGTCACCAGAGGTCAGAACAATCAGAAGTCACATCATTGTTCTTCATCGCACGCTCCACCTGAGGTCACCAGAGGTCAGCAGCGGTCAGGGAAGGTCAGGATAGGTAACATTAGCGTCCTCCAGCACCCGCTCTTCCTGAATGCTCCCCCCTAATAGTTCCAAAATACGAGTACATCAGTTGTGCATGACGGAGACCCCCGAACACGTCCAGCCACTTCTTACCCTGGTCCAGGCGGGCAGTCCCTTCTGCGCCATGAACTTGTTGGCGCGATCCATAGCGGCTGCCTTCTCTGCCTTGGTGCTGCCGCGTCCGATCCACACGAAGAACCCGGCCGCGCCCGTGTCCAGAATGAAACAGTCCTGAAAGTGGCGGGAACAGAGCTGTCAGAATACCGTGTCGAGGAGAAGGGATGGGCATGCCACGAATGTGCTGAAGCAATTGAGAGGCAGCTAGCCAGCTTTCTTTAGATAAAATTGTCGTAGGCATACGAATACCGTATAAATTGTTGGAGTGACTTCATGCGGAAAACTAAAAATTTAAATGACATATGTAGTACCTAGGTATGCGTTCTCATACCTCGGTTTTCAGCATTTCCTGCATCAGAGGCTTCTTGGCGATCTCCTCGATGTGAACGGTGCCGTTCTTCTCGTCACTGACCTTGTACAAGGTCACCGATCGCTGTGAGATGAAACCATTCGTGAAGTGAGAATACTGAAAGAACATTGCATTTCAAATGACTTCGAACAGAAATACGATGAGTGGATTGGTGGTCCTTTTTGTGAACACAGTCAGTACGACAAAATACTAGGATTTTTCATAGTTGAGCTCGATGCTCTTGTTGCCTGTTTGTGTATGTATGTACCTTCTGCTGCCTCTCGTGGTCGACGTCGTCGTCTGAGGTCGACTCTGGCGGGACGTCCTCGTTACTGCCGCCTCCCAGCTGTTTGAAGAAGGCCGCGTACAGACCGCCGTCGGCGTACTCGTCTGAAAAACGTCAGAGAACAAACACTGTAAAAAAAATTCACTAGCTAATTTTGAAATTAGGCATTTTTTACGAGTGCCTCCCTTGCTCCTCGTTACAACATATATGGACATTAGTAGTCAGAGCCATGCACGTTAACAATGCCGCTTGTGGAACAAATGCCTACGAGCGAGAACATGTTCAGGAACCTAATTTTGCGCAGTGTTAATGAACTACGCACAGCCTCACAGTGTTACCCGCCGTTGGTTTGTTCTCGGCCAGTTTTTAGCGTGTCCCTCAATTAGGTCATTTCGCTATTAGCTCAGCTGACGAGGCCCCGGCTGGCACCTACTAAACGGATAACCTTGCGTGCAACCCCGCTTGTTGTCACGAACGCCTGCAGCTGGTAAACGTGCTGGCAAGCTTGCGTGGTAAGCGGCTTCGGATGGCTATGAGGATGTGCCTCATAGCTATCCTCGTCGCATGTTACAACCTAGGAGTCTGTGGCTGCTTTCAGAAGGAGTCCCCCCCCCCCCCGCTTCCGGGAGCCGGCGTCCATTTTGTGTTGCGTCGCCATTACTGTGTGTGTCTGCCCAACTGCTCTTTGGCTTGATTGAAGGTGAGGCATCTTGTATCATTTGCTGTGTGCTCAACAAAAAGGTTGTCCATTTGTAAACAAAAGTTATTATGTTGTTGAGCTTCTTAGAAGATGTATAGTCGCATAATGTTGCCCGTCGTTGGCAGAAGTGCGCCGGTATCGTCTATCCAAGTCAGAATAGCTATATGTTTGGGACTTAAGCTAGCTTGTGGCAGGAATCTATCACATTATTCAACTTTAATTTAATCATTTTCCAGGTTGGTATGCCTTATGATAATAATAATGTTAATATTCGTTTTTTTCACCCATTACAGACTTCTCTGGTGAAGAATGGGGCCATGTATGTCCTGGCCTATACCTGCACCCCGCGACTGCCGCCGGTGCAGAGCTAATGAAAAAAAAAAAACACAAATGTTTGATAGTGGTTATTTAAGAAACCTTATTGAAAATTATTCAGTTAGTTGTTGTTGTTGTTGTTGTTAAAGTTATAGTTATTGTCCTGGCGTTGTTATTGTTCTCGTTCTCGTTCTCGTGCCCGAATAAATGTGCTGCAGCGCTACTCAGTCTGTTTACTTGCGGGTGGCGGTCGAGAGTCGGGGGCACTGGTCGACGGAATTCCGTCGACGGAATTCCGTCGACCGTGCCTCGACCCCGAAGGCCAGTAGTGGTACTAGTTAACTAGTGCCACTACTGGCCTTGAGCTAGTACCATTACTAGCCTTGGGGGCTAGTACCATTACTGGGTATGGATTAGTAGGCAGTGGCTAGTTACCTTACCAGGCAGGGGCTGTTATGACACCTAGTAGACGCACTACCCACGCTATTTACGTGCGTGTTGTCAAACTAGGTGGAGCACGGTGGTCGTATGCATACGAGGCACAGCCTTGTCGAACAAGCTTGTTACTCGGCAACTAGCCTAAAATTAGCCAAATTTACACGCTCCTGCAATGTTATTTTTGCGCTGAGAATTCCTCTACACTGTAAAAAAAACTTACAAGCCCCTCGTAGAGGAATTCTCAGCGCAAAAATAACATTGCAGGAGCGTGTAAATTTGGCTAATTTTAGGCTAGTTGCCGAGTAACAAGCTTGTTCGACAAGGCTGTGCCTCGTATGCATACGACCACCGTGCTCCACCTAGTTTGACAACACGCACGTAAATAGCGTGGGTAGTGCGTCTACTAGGTGTCATAACAGCCCCTGCCTGGTAAAGTAACTAGCCACTGCCTACTAATCCATACCCAGTAATGGTACTAGCCCCAAAGGCTAGTAATGGTACTAGCTCAAGGCCAGTAGTGGCACTAGTTAACTAGTACCACTACTGGCCTTCGGGGTCGAGGCACGGTCGACGGAATTCCGTCGACCAGTGCCCCCGACTCTCGACCGCCACCCGCAAGTAAACAGACTGAGTAGCGCTGCAGCACATTTATTCGGGCACGAGAACGAGAACGAGAACAATAACAACGCCAGGACAATAACTATAACTTTAACAACAACAACAACAACAACAACAACAACAACAACAACAACTAACTGAATAATTTTCAATAAGGTTTCTTAAATAACCACCATCAAACATTTGTGATTTTTTCATTAGCTCTGCACCGGCGGCAGTCGCGGGGTGCAGGTAGGCCAGGACATACATGGCCCCATTCTTCACCAGAGAAGTCTGTACCTAATGGGTGAAAAAAACGAATATTAACATTATTATTATCATAAGGCATACCAATCTGGAAAACGATTAAATTAAAGTTGAATAAAGTGATAGATTTCTGCCACAAGCTAGCTTAAGTCCCAAAGATATAGCTATTCTGACTTGGATAGACGATACTGGCGCACTTCTGCCAACGACGGGCAACATTATGCGATACTATACATCTTCTAAGAAGCTCAACAACATAATAACTTTTGTTTACAAATGGACAACCTTTTTGTTGAGCACACAGCAAATGATACAAGATGTCTCACCTTCAATCAAGCCAAAGAGCAGTTGGGCAGACACACACAGTAATGGCGACGCAACACAAAATGGACGCCGGCTCCCGGAAGCGGGGGGGGGGGGACTCCTTCTGAAAGCAGCCACAGACTCCTAGGCTGTAACATGCGACGAGGATAGCTATGAGGCACATCCTCATAGCCATCCGAAGCCGCTTACCACGCAAGCTTGCCAGCACGTTTACCAGCTGCAGGCGTTCGTGACAACAAGCGGGGTTGCACGCAAGGTTATCCGTTTAGTAGGTGCCAGCCGGGGCCTCGTCAGCTGAGCTAATAGCGAAATGACCTAATTGAGGGACACACTAAAAACTGGCCGAGAACAAGCCAACGGCGGGTAACACTGTGAGGCTGTGCGTAGTTCATTAACACTGCGCAAAATTAGGTTCCTGAACATGTTCTCGCTCGTAGGCATTTGTTCCACAAGCGGCATTGTTAACGTGCATGGCTCTGACTACTAATGTTCATATATGTTGTAACGAGGAGCAAGGGAGGCACTCGTAAAAAATGCCTAATTTCAAAATTAGCTAGTGAATTTTTTTTACAGTGTACGAGGGGCTTGTAAGTTTTTTTTTACAGTGAACGCTCCAATCAACGCCATGATCACATTGAAGTCTGGTGGGATATTGGAATGGTTAATAGCAAAATTACTGTCAGGGGCAAGCTTGCAATCATACGGTATTACAGTGGAATTAGGTTCCACATTGGGTTGTCCAGCGTGTTTGCATCTTCCATGGCTATTGTCTGCGTTTGTCACCACGACTATTGTCCGCGCCTGTCGCCGTCATTGCCTGATCTGGCGCGCTGCCAGCGGTGTCTCATGTCTCGTACCCCCCCCCCCCCCCGCGGAGCTATGTTCGGTGCCAGCTCCTACCGGAACTACCCCGGGGATGTCGGCGCCAAACCCGTGTCACCGGGCGCGGGGATTAGCCTACAAGCTGTACTCGGCGTGGGGTGGGAGCCCACACCCAGCTGGGTGACCTGAGAGGCGGCTGTTGGCGGCAGGACTGAGAGACGGCTGTTGGCGGCAGGACGGGGTGGTAACCGGCCCAGGGTGCGCGCCTGCCCCTGGCTGGCAGAGCGTGTGAGATGTTCTGCCAAACTGCCGACTAAATAAATATCACAGATGTTTTGGGGCGCATCTTTAAAAGCTAAGCGGTGTTTATGCGCAACACTATCGGAAATATATGTTGATTAGAAAGTGACCGAAGACCGGACTGCAGCGGGAACATCTGTCGCCTGTAACCAGCACCCTTCGGGCAGAGTGTCTCGCCTTGATGTGGCCATGTCGTCTCACCGAGTATGTGGATGGTGGCCTTCCCGCCGTGGTCGCTGTCGCGGATCTGCGCGGCCGCCTGGGTCGCCTTGAGTCTCTCGGTGCGCCGGCTTTTGGGTCCCGCCCACACGTAGATGGTGTCGTGTGTGTCCAGGATGAAACAGTCGCCGCGGTTCATCGACGAGACCTTCATTTCCACCTGGGCAGGAGAGAGGATGGTCACATAGTCGACAAGTTTCAAGGGTGTACACTGTAAGTACTTGACATGTGCCTGTTTGAAAGCGAGTTTTCAAGTATTCCACTTAACAACACGAACATTTTACAACCTCAAACAACAACAAAAAGTGTAGGGTTTGCATAATTTGAAACGCCTAATGTTAATGAATCGAGAGGCTCCGAGCCATTTTCTATGATTTACACTCGTTATCATATTACACCCTGCAGTGCACGCTAGTAAACCGTCGTCCCTTGAAGGCTACGGCCGGTAAGAAAATAGCGCCTTGTTTGTAAACGCCTGTCTGTCTGCTGTATAAGACGGTAAGTTTATTATTTCTAAGCAAAGCTAACGGCAGAGCATGACACAGCAGCACGACCAGCATCCATGGGGACACGGCTTCATTCACTGGACCCATCGCATGTGCGATATTCATTGTGCATAGACACAGGAAGGACAGGTAGGTAAATGTAATGAAAAATATCCGGCTACATTCCGCAAAAGACAGAAAGAATGCATCTAAGCATTAAAAAGTGGTTTATGGGTGATCATGCCACCCATGATCTCTCGTCTAGAATGGTAGTAAGAGTTTACAAGATGTACTAGCCCATGGCATGCCAATCACAATGGGCGTTATATACAGAGCAGAAGACGGGATACTGTACCGCAAGGCACTCGTGTACTGCGGGCCTGCCTAACCCCCTGCACCTCCTTGTCATCTATACGGCTGTGTGCTGCGGCGCCTGGACAAATGTTTCATTTGGTACGTTATGCACGCAAATATTACGTTACATTCCATTAGACAAAAGTATGTTTACTTTGCTCCTCCAGGATGTTTGCGTTATCGGGAACATGCAGATTGCGTCAGCGCCTACTAACAATAGCATAGCAGCTGCCGCACACTGTCCATCTGTCCGTTATCTAGCTATAGCGCAGATATTGTTGATCAGCCTACGGCCATATTGCAGTGACCTTCCACCCGGCGCGACCGTTCTGTTCGGTGCACTAACCTGGGTGACCCGCACGTTCCGGCGGCCTTTGACCTGGAACAGGGCCGGCTCGTAGTCGTCATCGCTGACGTGGCGGAATCCGCTGGCTACGCCGCCCTTCAGGTACTGAATTCCTGTGGCAAAAGTACACAGAACAGTTAGAGAACCACCCAGTGGTCGGCCTGGGTCAGTGCAGGTCAGACGTTACACCACCCGCCAGGTGGCTGCCAAGACATGCCGTCACCGGTTGAGTTCACCCCCATACCATGCCGACTTCTGGCATGGGCTAGCATTCCTCCACCGCTGACCACTCACCACTGCCCTCTGCCCACTGACCACCGGGTGCTCATCACCGAACTACTGATTGGTAACTGCTGATCAACATTCGGGAGTCGTTATTCAGCCAGATCAATCCGTCACGAACTTCTCGTATACCGGCGTTAACATATGTTCTTACGTCTTCGATGTCCCAATCGAAGTTCGTCTCATGTCTTACTTCATCAGTCTGAATCTGTGCCTCATACCCAGCCCAGCTCAGTGTATCTCACCTTTCTTGTAGTAGGAGAGGAAGAGCTTGGACTCGTGGCCCTGCACCTCCCGGTGCTGGACGGGCTGTCCTCCCAGTGAGTCGTCCAGCTCCACCGCCTTGATGGCCGCGGTACCCCATTCGTCCTGATGGCACGGGGCGGATGGGGTAGGCGTAGACGACATCAGAGCCATAGCTGGGATAATGTGCACGCTGACAAAGATAATAATCATTACTTTCGAATGTAGTTAATATTTTACCCTTCGCTGCGCATTCTTATTTCGTCGTTATGGATGCATTATTTTCTACTTGGCTCGTTAGTTTCTTTACTTCAGCTGTAAAGACTAAATATCCACAGATGCTTGCCAAGTCACCATGAAATCATCCGAAACTGCCCCTCGGCCACGCCCAAAGCACGTGGCGCCAGCAGTTCAGCAGCTCCGTCCCTCCTACATCTGGACCGGCCGTGGCGTGTTTTTCTCCTCTCCCTCTCCCTCTCCCTCTCCCAGGTTCGCCCTTATACCCCAGCTGTGTCGGAGACAGGCGCTGGCGCCGTGCCCAGCTTCACTCTCCAGCTCAGCCGGTAAAAACAACACAACACCGGGAGGAGACTGTCCCGGGGTGAATAATTTGGGATGGAAGATGTTCGCGTTTAAACGTTGTGCCTTTATTGCATTAAGAACCATTAATCATATGAATTTCACATAATTCTGGCAGCTCTTAGACACATTTTCAATTAACGGTACCAAACAACACCTATCTGGACACTTGTTTGCCGTGTGCACTTGACATTCTTGGAAATGGGACACGCACTTATAATTACAAATCACATTTTCTTATCTTTATGGAAACAACACGGTAGGGCAATATTATGTTTTCGGCGCTACTTTGTTTACCATTAGCTGGTGGGTCGGCCTCGGCCCATTAGTTGGTGCGAGTCAACATTTGGCTGTCTAAACTGGGAGCTCTGCGGCAGGAAACCACACTGACTCACAGACCGTGCTGATACAGACCGTATACAGACAGACATACAAACAGAGAGAGGGAGAGAGAGAGAGAAGGGAGAGAGAGAGAGAAAGAGGGAGAAAGAGAAAGAGAGAGACAGAGAGAGAGGGAGAGAGAGAGAGACAGAGAGAGAGAGAGAGAGCGAGAGAGAGAGAGAGAGAGAGAGAGAGAGAGAGAGAGAGAGAGAGAGAGAGAGAGAGAGAGGAGAGAGAGAGAGAGAGAGAGAGAGAGAGTAAGAGACGCCGGGAGTGTCGGTACACAAAGCCGAGCGCGGGGGCGGACTCGTCACGCGCTGTTGGCAGGCTGAAACCGCTCAGCTGCTTCTCCGCTGGCAAACGTTCAGCTGTGTTTGTAAACTGTGACGTCAACGTTGATCTTCAGAGCTGGCCAATTGACGAACTAAATTTTCTCACCTTCCGAAATTACGAAATCATGCCTAACTTTTAGCAGAACGCAAGTCAACTTATTTTCTCCTGACTCGTGACTTACCTGAGAAGATTCAGAGCCGAGCCAGAAGTGAATGTCGTGAACCAGGAGGTCTCCGTCTAGCTTGGTCTGAAAAAGGAAAAAGAGTTCTCAGTAGCTGGCGCCCTGCACCCGTCATAAGCTGGGTCCCTGTTTCACCAGCTAATCTGGCCTTACCGCAGTTACCACTGCAGGCACTGCACCCGACATTTCAGACAGACCGAGCTGAACGTGCAATGGAGAAATACGATCCTAAGAAAACATTTACATTAGCTCGGTGTTGGCGGACACTGTCGTTATCTACTTGGCTTGGTGGTGATGCTTAGAGCATGTGTTCAGTCACTTCTAAGTTCTAGTGTGCTTGAAAAATAATGTAATTTTTTTTTAAACACTGCAATACAAAAGTATGACAGCCATGGTATTGGACGACTTGATATTAGCAAATCACATCAATATTGTCCGTCGGATAAAATTATTGATGCTGCTTACCTTCAGAACAATGTAGCAGTCTCCAGTGTAAAACTTTCCGTACTGAGAGGGGTCGATAGGCTTCACCTCAAATTTCTGCAATAGAAAGGAATGATGTCACACAGGCGCTCTTCATAATCAGCTTTATAAAAAACGAGAGCTAGAGCGAGAACGAGTTGAACAATGAATAGCTATTGCTAATACATGTGGTGAGCGTTTTATATTGACGTTTACTTCACCGTCACCTATAAAGTGTTGTTGATAAAACAAGCATCTTCCCGTTTATCTACCAAAAGGCTATTTGCCGTGGCGCCCTTCCATCTATCTCAGGCGTGCATATTAGCGCTCCAGCGCCACTGGAAGGTGGGTGGTTAGACGAAACGCTGGCTGGGTGCCACCGCCCGAAATACCCCGAGTTGAGCCCCTCCCCTTGCTCCGTGTCGCCGGCTCGAACCGGCCGTGTCTGCCCTCCACCAACAAAGGGCCGTGGGGGCCACGCCCACGGACATCCCACGGGGAGAGGCGTCATCGCTTCAGTGCATGTTTGTGAGAGCAGCACACCTGGGACGGGCGGGAAAGGTTTCAGCGTCCGTCATATGGAGCCAAGAGGGTGACGTTCGCTGCAGCTCCGGAGAAGTCATAAACAGGTTCGCCCTCTGAGGGGGCTGTGTTTCGGCAGCGGCGCGGCAGAGCACATAAACAGACGCTGATGGGATTGGTCCTCGTTTTACGGCTGCCAGGTGTGGTTTGGCTCGCGGATAGGCGTCCGTCGGCGCCCCCAGGGCATCAAGGTGTCGGCGGGAAATACTGCTAACAGGCGCACTCTGTTCTGGCCAGCTTTGATCCCGTAAAGCTAATTAAGGGTTTCATTGCGATGTGAAATGCATTTGGATGAAGAAAGCTGAGTAATTATATCCTTAGTAATTACGGGTTTGTGATGAGAGCACACAAAGACAAATTGGCAAAAACATAGCAATTCGATTCAATTTCAACCAATTAAAGATGTAAGTCGGCGAGCGACAAATCCATCTTCCGTCAGCATGTCCGTCAGCGAGGTAATCAAACAGCTTCACATTTTCTCGTTCACTTAGTTTTACAGATTGAAACCACAAGTCTTGTTAAGTGTCCCCGTTTTCTATCTACGTGCGGTTGCAATGTGCGCGCAGCAGTACATATTATTCGCATCACGTACGAATGCCTGGTAATGATTTACGAAAAGTTCACGTCTTTAAACCACTTCCTGTCTTATCACTGCGCAAAAGAAGCTTATCTGTCGGAGAGGAGGCGTTTCCGGGATTTGACGTTTCCGATTTCCGGCGACACACCGCGCGCATCCTTCACGAACGTTCTACCTTCCGAGTGTAGAGCAGCAGTCCTAATGAAGTGACAATTTTTCATCACACACGGCTTGCTGATTTCGTTTTGTGAGTAACGTTTAAACTTATATTGATGCCAAATTCCGTAGCCTATAGCAGCCAAATTCCGTACTTATCACATGCTTATTAGATTCTCTAGATTCAATGGAGTGCATATGAAGGAGCAACAGCTCTGGCAATGCTGAAAAAATATGCAGCGATAAACTACATAAGTGCATGTATTTGCTTATCATATACTTTATATTTGACGAGGCCAGCTCGTATTTGAACCTACTATTGAATTAACTCACCTCGATTCGCCAGATCCATGTCCGGGGCTCCTGTCCGACGCCCTTGAAGGCGGGGTCCATGGCCGATAGCTGTGGGGACGAGAGACCCGACGGCTCCGACGGCTGGGCGGTCTGTTGCTGCCTCCTCCGTCGGCCGAGCGGAGCCGACCCGGCCAGTCAGTAGTTCCGCCACCGGCCGCCAGAGGCGCTGAGATAGCGCTCTCTGGCAGCTCACATCTGGCAGCTCACATCTGGCAACTCACATCTCGTACTGTGAAATTCCTGCTGGTGACTAGTAAAGACATCATGGCGCCTTCTGACACCAACAATTAGCAAGACATTGCCGTTTCCATCGACAATATTTTTCTTATCGGTTACGTTCGCGCAATGTTAATTCCACGAGAAAAAAATAATGAGTGAAGCAGACACCCTGCACGCAGCCTAAAAGGAACCAACCATTTCCCTGCCCATCATCCGGTTGATCAGACGCTGACTAACTCTTATCCTGCGCATCCATGTGAAACGATTGTTCTTCTTCAGCATGCCTACTCTTCAAAAGAAAAAAAAAACTTCAAATTAGTTGAGTAGCGGTGGCGGCGACTAGGGACATGCGGCAATGTCCGCCTCTCCCCACCTCTCTGCCTGAAACCACATCTTATTAAGTTAGCTGTTAAAGCCTGCTTTAAACCTTTGGGAACCCACAAACTTGGCCATCCGTTTATCTCCTGTCTCCCAGTCCCAATGGATTTGCCACTCGCCAGTGACAATGAACAGCTTCAAAAACAGCTTCGAAAAACAGTCTGACTTACAAAATGCTGTGTATTCAGTAGACAATATCGTTCATAGATGTTTGCTAAAAACTGACAACAATGAATAGCAATGTGCGTACCATACCAGTAAAACCTATAACAAACTACACAAACTACATGCGTAGTAATTGAGCTTAGTATAGAGGCCTACTACTCAAACAAGCAACGAACAAGCGTAGGTACAGATATTATATGGTGGGGGGGGGGGGGGGCGATGCAACCGGATAGTTCATAACAGACAGCGAACGCTCCTTACGGCTTCGGTCTCGCCAAATGCCGCCACGGGATGTTAGACTGTACCGCATGGCCCCGTGTAGTGCGGCACAGTCTCACCGTGGATTCCGGCTCTCGCTCGCCGATCAGTAAAGTCGCACGGTTAAATATTTTTTTTTTTTTAGTTGAAATCAAACGACTAAGAAGACATGTTCTGTCACATAACACGAGTGTCAAGCAGCCGTCAGAGCACTCTTAGCCTCATCACAACATACCTCATAATCACTATTTTCAATAGAAGCAGAGCATCCAGTGGACGAAACGATTGTCCTCGGAATCATTCGCATTCAGGTGTTTCGTATCGTTCACATTCAGCCTGAGCCACTCCACATTCTTCCGTCATGACACGTCACGTCCTCACATCACATCACGTCACGTCACATCCTCAGAGCATCACTTCCATCAGCTCCCGGTGTTTCTTTTCCTTCATATTGACCTCGATGACGTGTCCCTTCTTGTCTGCCACGGTGGTGACCAGCACGTGGCCCTTGGCCCAGCTGACTGACTCGATGTGCGCGTCTTCGGGCACCTCCAGGCTGTAGTGCCACTCCACGGCTACGGAGGTGGTCCAGCGGTGCAGGGCCACCGTGCTGAGAACAGAGACAGACGGGACATAAGGCTCAGTGACCTGGTGTAATAAAAACGCTACTAGAATGTATAAAAGGTGAAACAATGTGAGCATTACTAACGGGAATGACAATTTAATGACGCCCTCTTTCTTCAAATGTTTCATAAGCATTTAAACAGCCATTACAGTCATTGTATATGCTTAGTTTCTAGTGCTGTCCAAATCTGATACAGTTCGGCGTTTGTCTCACTTTTGCACAGTCCTGACGGCGGTGAGCAGCGCCGAGCCGCTCCTGTTGACGCTGACAGAGGTGACGGGTCCGTGCTGAGTGACCTCGACCACCTGCGACATGATGGGTCCCTTCCAGACCAGCAGCCGGCCGTCGCTGGTTCCCGTGTACGACACGTGATCCTAAAGGCGTGAAACAAGAGTGCATGTTAGCAGAATACACGGGGACATGTGTCAGCGAAAATCGGAGACGGCATGTCAATATGCGTTAACATGTCAGTGGAGACAGGCAGGAGATGTGGAGGAAAGGCGAATTACCTATAAGTAAGCTTCTTTGAAAGGGAACAAGAGGTACATATGTAGCTAGATCTTTTATGACTTCACTAAAGCAGACTCGTTTTTTGTACGAGGGTTGAAATATGCTATCGATAAATAGATGAATTTACGAAGCCCTATAATATATGGTGCCAGGCCCGCCACTTACCGGTCCGCAGGCCACACAGAGGAACCTCCGGTCAGAGCCCTTCTTCTTCCGCGGGATGTAGCCCTTCTGCAGCTGAATGGCCACGCCCACTATCTTACCAAACAGGACCTGTTCAACGACAAATACAGCCGTTAATATAAGCTAATGCAATGTCACATTTACAATTCAATAGACATATGCTGCGCACCAGCGCACGAAATAATGCCGCACAGCAATGAGCACTGAGAACACATGACAGGAACTTGGAAATTGAACTGTTGACGCTTCAGATTGATGATGAACGGGCGTACCTGTTTGGAGCAGAGGACCGTTAGCTTGAGATCGTCCGAGGGTGAAAAGTCGGCGTCCAGGAGAGTTCCGCTCACTTGTGTCTGAGCCACCTGCATCGCTGGAAGCCGTGCGACGGCGTTAATAAAACAAGTACCTAAAAGCCGCGTACACAATTTATAAAATGTGCTTTAGCATTTACCGACAGCAAGGTACCGCATTTTAATTCAGTGATTGCAAAAACGTATCTAATCCAGATATGTTTGTGCTGAGGTAGAATAAACAAGACTTACCTTTCTTCCAGTTCCAGACTCTGAGAAGGTAATGTCCATTTTTGTGGATGCAGCAGACAAGGAACCGACCACTGTCGGAGAACCGCATCCGGAATATGTCCTCCGCCTGGGAGTTGGACGCCTGAAAACAGCGCATAACTAAATTAAATTGAGCGTAATAAACAAGAAATAAAAATGCACAAAACATTACGTGAAGGTAAGTCCTCCGCGTGGCATAGAAGAGCCCACCTTTTGGCTCAGGTGTGCAGAGGTCAAAAAAACTTATTTTGTGTCAACTACAAAATTTTTCCACCCCCTTTGTGTCCCCTGCCCCCGGAGGCCAGATAAGTGTTGCAATAGGGTGGTAAAATTGGAAAAATTCTAGGATTCATCAGGCCAATGTGTTAGTGTCACCAATAATAGTGTGGCCCTAAACCTGGATAATGTATTACAGTGTCCCAAAATTTGTTGATTTGGGTGGGAAATACTGAGATTCATTTGCCACTCTCACCACCAATTTCTAAGAGCAATTAACCACTCTCAGCCAAGAACACCTTGTTACCTCAAAAGGCAGTTCAGGTGTGGTGGACTTGGACAAGTGGACAGGTGTGGTGGACTGAGTTGTGTGGATACTTGGAGTTGGTTTATGATCATAGATACTCATGGATAAAAATAAATGCCATTGATCTTTTCTCACTATTTTTGTATCTATTCTAACCAGCAGTTTCCACCCTCTACCCCTTTTTGGTGGATAATATCCCCCTCTGACACCCCAGCCAAAACTCAACTTTGGGACACTGAATGCATGTGTAACTAATCTTGTGCAGATGCATTTAAGAATTGCTGACATTCTATTTTACATTTTTCCATAACATCTACATTTGTGTTCTATATGGTGGGATTTCACACCTGTTATGACATAACAAATAATAGGTGCCTATGTATAATACAATATACCTACCTATGCAACATGTTGCAAAAGGTTCCTGTTCCACATCAAGGCCACTAATATTGTTAAACCAAAATTCTAATCATTAGATTTTTGGTACTAGTATACAATAAGTCAAAATAAAATAGGTGTAGGTGCTAGGTAGGTGGGTTGTATGCTTCGGAGCTTGTCGGTTGGCAGGTTTAAGGAAGGAAGTTGTAACTTGTAGGTACAGGTATAAGGTAGAAGGTAGATAAGCTGTAGGCTGGTAGGTAATAGGTGGTAGGGTAGAAAGTAAGATTAGGTTAGGTAATGATGTTTTTCTTTCATTCAGACTTCTTTAACACTTACGCAAGAGTAAAAGAGTAGAAGTCGGAATGAAGGAAAAACAATTAAGCCTGAACCAAACTCACATAACTACTAACCTACAACCTACCTACAACATACCAACACAAAGCAGAAAACCTACCAGCCTACAACCTCCCAGCTTACAACCTACATACCAACCCACAACATTTGTTCGGAGTCCTTGGACTGGTATACCTACTTTTACCAGCTCATGAAAATTGAAATTTGTGCTCTTCTAGGGCTCAACAAATTAAAATCAAAATGAAAGTTGTGTCAATATTTACAGTAAAAACATCTATTCATTGACAACTTTGGCAAGTGTTTCAAAATCAGGCAACAAATCCACACAGCCTTGCTTTTGATGCCCACCGGGCTAGCGTTGTTATATCCAACTTACAAGTATACCTAAATCAGCAAAGTTAGACAACCCAAGATTCCTTACTTCCAGTGTTATGTCCTGCCTTGCAACAGAAAAAATCATAACCACAATACAACAACTCAGCTTTCATCACGGCGCCAGTCCCTTTCTTGAAAGCATTCAAACTTGTTTGAAAATTGGACAAGCACTGAGCGCTACTCGCGAGCAGGGATGCGGAGCCGTGGAAATTTCAGACGGCTCCGGCTCCGGCTCCGGCTCCGGAGAAAAAATCGGCTCCGGCTCCGGCTCCGGCTCCGGGTGAATATCATGGCGGCTCCGGCTCCGACTCCGAGTAAAATGATCCGGCTCCGGCGGCTCCGGCTCCGGCTTCTACTCAGTACATCCACAATGCGATCAATTAACCTTCGCCCCAGTGGGGGGGGGCATATGTTACTACCCTGTCGCGTTTTTTGCGTGTGAATAAAAAACCGCGGCGCGTAGCGCCGCGCCGCTTGGGGTAGCTTTTGGTACATCAATTTTGGACAATGTGTGAAATTTTTGACCCCAGGTCATGTCAGGTCAGGTCACCAGGTCAAGTTAACTGACCAAGCCTAAAAAAAAAGTTTGCAATCATGTCCAGCCTGCAATGTTTGTCAGAAAGGTTTTAAACTTGGTGGATTGCATGCTGTTATGGGCACCTACAATTTGTATATCTCGGATTTTTTATATCCGTGACCTAAGGTCAGGTCAGTGGCGTGACCTTTCCATTACAAGTCAATGGAGAAAAATGAAAATGCCTCTAGATCCGTGTGTACGCATAGGAACAGTCCAAATATTTCAGAATCACAATGATTTAGTCCACTCGTGACGACCAAGAGGTCATTTTTGCTGATAGCCTCTAGAAAGGTCATTCGAGGTCATTTGAGGCTACATACAGTTTTTTGCCAATAACTCGCGATTGGAAAGAGATAGAACGCTGGGGATGGTTTCATTGTGTTAGTCTTGTTGAGACGCATCGACTGATATGCAACATGACCTTTTCCGGTCAGGTCATGACCTTGACCTGAGGTCAAATTTTCAAGTTGACCTTTCAAGGTCAAATTATAGTTCATTCGACGCGTCTCGGCGAGGGGAACACGATTCTGGCAATAGAAATGTCGTGGCTTTTTGTAGTCGAAAGTTATTGTCGAAAAACACTTTTCGTAAAAACGGCTATTTTTGGAGTTTTTGCCCTCTGGAGGCTAAACCGTTGACCTGAGGTCAATATTGATAATGACCTTTTCAAAAGAAGAGTTCAAAAGCTACCGATTGCTGTTCCATGCGTTTTCCTAGCTATCATAGTTCCTGAGATAGCGGCATGTTTTCTGAAAAATATCATGACAATTGGCAAATTTTGACCTTTGATGACCTCTGGTGACCCCAATATTGCTCTAAGGTGAAAAATGACCGAAATACTTTCAAACGTACGCATTGAGAGCTATCGACTACTTTTTACCGCGTCTTTCTAGCCCTCTTAGTTTTTGAGTTAAAGGTGGGTGGTAACATATGCCCCCCCTCACTAGGGCGAAGTTGGCTGAGACCGCCACTGGGGCGCGGGTTAAATACGGGTGGAAGAAAAAAAGGCGATGGGATTGGTACACGTTGCTTCTGTATTTGTATAACAAGGCTATTTTGAATACCACATTGTTTTACGCCTTGTACTGTCAAACCGAACTAGGTAAATAATTGTTTCCTCGTAAGAAAAGGAGCCGGAGTCGCCCCCTTTTTTGACGGCTCCGGCTCCGGCTCCGGCTCCGGGTTATATTGTTTCACGGCTCCGGCTCCGGCTCCGGCTCCGGGCAAAATATGCCGGCTCCGGCGGCTCCGGCTCCGGCTCCGGCTCCGGCTCCGCATCCCTGCTCGCGAGAGTCCACTTCTGTTTTGCTACGTGTTCATGATCACGGTATACCTCTCATAGACGTTCGCCGAAAAGGCCCGCTCAAAATCTTTGATGCGTTGGCTCCTGGGGCCTACAAAATCCACAGTGAAGGCTCCCTTGCGGCTGGGGCGTTAGCTCAGCGTTGTCCCCTCGTGTCACCAGCATCCGATTGGTTCGCTCAGGGTTATTCTCGCCGCGGATTGGCTGGTTAGTCTGTTCGCTAGCAGTGTGCGAAAACGCCGTCAACAAATGCGATGCAGTGCGTTCACCATTTTCGTGACTTTGTCACCAAATGTCTCTGGTGCCTGTCAGCTTCTGTCGCCTACAATGTAAGCGAGTAGGAAGTTTTTTTGACCTCTGCAGGTGTGGACGACTGGGACTGGAGAAGTTGATTTATTTGGCTCGTAGAGCTGTACCTGTTTAGTGAGACAACAGACTTCTGCGGATCACATTGAGCCATTATGTTGGAATATTCTGAGCTCTTGTCTTATCTATTCTACTCGTATTTAACACCCACACCAGACATGCCCCCATCCGGTGTGATGTGGCCGTCCCCCCCCCCCCCCCCCCCCGAGCCCTGCCGCGTTCCCGTTACCCGGAGCATGCCGATGGTGTCGCCGTCGCGGCTCAGGTCCAGCACTGTCACAGAGGAGCAGTCGTCCCGCTCAGAGACGGCCAGCAGGTGCGACTCGTTAGCAGAGACGGCCGCACTGCCCAGCACCGGCGCCTCGTGCTGAATACCCAGCACCTGATTACCTGCGAGAGTGCAAAGAGGGGCATATACTGCTCAGCACCGTCGCTTCGTGCTGGATACCTAGCAGCTGACTGCCTGGACAGGTACAAAAGGAAAAAACAGATGCTGTTTAGTATTGGAGTGACGTGAGGGATACCCATCATCTTTGCTTTGTTTTGACGCAGCGTTGAGCCTAATACGTTAAATTCGTTGCATCTGATATCAAAACACAGGCTGCAACCTTCCTCCCGATAGGCGTCTCTGCATCACAGGGCCGGGAGGGATCAGCTCTCCCTGCTCGGTGTAATGCTCACCCTTTTCGATGTTGTATCCGACGACACTGGTGCGGGTGACGACCGCATACACCTCTCCCGACTGGAGGTAGAGTCCCGTCAGCCGGTCCCCCGTGAGGTGGCGGGGCAGGGCGGACACGGGCCGGCGCGACTCGCCGCCGGCCAGAGCGCCGTGAGACGCAGTTAGCTCTGAGAAAGTTCAGAAGTTAGAGATGAGGACGGTGGGCTAGGGTTTTTGGAGTCGCTTAGACATCAAGAAAAATACTGCAGATAATTGGAGCGATTATATGACATGACCAATGAATTTCCGATAAAATACAGAATTAAGAAGCAATTACGAATCGAAAAAAAAATGAGGAGTGATCGTTTACAATCACTTAGCTTTTAAAGGGTCATGAGACTTTTGTGTCCTCCCTGTTCTCCAATCCCCTTCGAACTTCCCTCGTCCTTCAATTCCTCTACATTCCTCCAGCGTTCTCATTTATCTTCCCCTGCTCTGCCCTCCTCCCACGCTCTCACCGAGGTCGTGCACGGCCAGGTCGTCGCCAGAGTCGGGGTCCAGCGGGTTGGTGTAGCCGGGCGCCACTTCTGTGCTCTGCACGCGGCTCCAGACGAACACACCGCAGTCGGCGCCGCCCACCGACATCAGGTACTTGCCGTCGTACGACCAGCGCACGTTGGTCACGTGACTGCTGTGGCCGGAGTACTTCCGGAATCGGCAGAACTTCTCCTGGTGAGGGGTACACGAGGATGAGTTAGTGCGAGCATAAGGTGTGGGTTGAAACGGACGCGAAACGTGCAGTGTAACACATGCAACTTAGTTATCGTGTTTTGTTTGTCTTTTATTCTAGGGAAATGCCCGTCCTAAGGCCTCACAGGTGTAAGTTTTGTTCCCGTTTTGTGGTATGGCATAGGCTTCTCTATGGACGAGGCTTTCTTTCCCATTCGTTCGTATCGGCCCCGCCCGCGTTCATGTGATTAGGTAGGCTGTACCGCAATACCCAGTGTGCTGCGGCGCAGTCTACCTCCCCGTTTCGTCGGCGCTCGTTACAGGCTCAGCCGACTGTTGCTGATACTGACCCTGGCCGGGTATCTGAACAGTTTGATGAGCCCTCCGTCGTCGCAGGCGGTGGCCACCAGTGTCCGGTCGGGGCTGCGATCCGCCGCGTTTATATCGGTGTAGTCATCCTCCGGCGCCCAGATGCCGGCCAGACTCGGACTGAGGACGCAGGTTTCTGTGTGCCAGTCCAGTAGCGGCTCCACGGAGTTCGGCACCAGCTGCCGGCGGCCGGCGGGGCAGTCGTGGTACAGGAGCTCACCGGCTCCTGGTGGGAGGTGAGAGAGGGGGAGCATCAATCAGACTCTGAAGTAACGTTCGACAAGCATGTGTAGAATGCGATTGCCTACGACCGCCTAATGGCGTCAGCCAATGTAGGTCTGTTCGCGAGTGAAACATGGCGATGGTTCTGCATCATTTTTGACCTTATGGGTTCTAAATGTTCATCGCAGTTGAGCTTATTTTATGTGACAAGACGAGTGTAAATCCGTCCCTCCCTTGCATGTATACATGCAAGGGAGATGCGGTGATATATCACCACATCTGCCACTGACCATACTTCATCAGACCCAGAGTCAACCCTCCGCTCTCTGTGACTCGTACCTGAGTTGCTGCGGATGAGCCGTCCGTCCTCCAGCCAGTCCACCTGTGATATGTAGCTGGAGGCGTCCTTACAGACGGCCACGCGGCGCAGCTGGCCCGCCTCCGACCAGTGGTACAGATCGACCACGTCGTCATGAGAGGCGGCAGCCAGGAACCCCCGGCCGCGGACGGCCCGCGGCGACCAGCGGACGGCAGAGATCTGAGAGTCGCGGTGGTGGACGGTGGCAGCGCGCAGCAGACTGTCCGACGAGAACAGACTCACACTGCCTGCGGAGCGGAGATAGGGAGAAAACCTAGTGATCATATTTCCGCGAATCAACAGACCGGTAATAATCTGTAGAGAAAAGGAACAAGTGGAAAAGGGAACACATATATAACGGAAAAGTCAGTGGTCGTATTGTCTGAACTATAGCAGAAATTATTTGTTGAATGTCAATTCAAACGCAATGTGCGAACAATCCTATGTGAACTTTCATCAAAAATCCTATCAACCAAAAAAGGTGAACGCCAACTCATACACAACACCATTCAAGATGCTCTCCGTACCGTCCAGAAATCCGACGGCCAGGCAGGAGCCGTCCGAGTTGTAGGCCACGCTGCGCGCCGGCCGGCGCAGGTCGGTCATGTGCGCGCCGCTGAACCGGTTCCAGACTCGCAGCCAGTGGTCGTCACTGACGGTGACAAACTCCAGCGTGGTCGGGTGGGTGTCCAGACCCCAGACCTCGCCGCGGCCGTGACCCTGACCGGAGGGGGAGGGGTGGGGGTCAGGGAATCAGTGGGGGAAGAGGGAGGAACTCAGACAGGATCGGGCTAAATCCCATATGGCAAGTCTCGAGTAAACACGAAAGGGAAGCTGCGACAAGCTCCGCTCCCCCAATGAATTCATCTGGTAGAACAAGAGCAGCCATCGAGAGTCGAAATCAATACCGTGACTCCTCCCTCCCTCTCTCTCTCTCTCTCTCTCTCTCTCTCTCTCTCTCTCTCTCTCTCTCTCTCTCTCTCTCTCTCTCTCTCTCTCTCCCTCTCCCTCTCTCCCTCTCTCTCTCTCTCTCTCTCTCTCTCTCTCTCTCTCTCTCTCTCTCTCTCTCTCTCTCTCTCTCTCTCCTCACCGCCATGGTGACGCAGATATTGCCGTCTTCATAGACCTCTACGATCTCTCCGCGCTGGGTCCCGGCCACGATTCTCCCCATGCCCATGGCGCAGGCGCGGATAGACGGATGATCGGTCGTTAGTGTCATGTGACCCGCAGTGACGTAAGCGTTACTGATCGGGAAGATCTTGAGACAGCGGGAGAACTCGTTGTCCCAGAGGCAGACGTAACCGTCCTGGCCGCCGGTCAGGTACCCCTGGAGGACAAAGAAAGTGGTGAGTTGTGTTTGCAGTCTCTGGGAAGCCGAAGATGTGAGAGACACCAAAAAGACAACGAGCCAAAAACACACATTTTCCTATATTCCTTCCTCTCTTTTCCCTTCCTTTTCCTCTTCCTCTCCCTCTTTCTCCTTCTCCCTCACTCTCCCTAGCGGTAAACGTTCGAGCCCTACCTCCTGCGGTGTGGCGATGCAGTAGACGGGTCCGCGGTGCGCCTTCACGGAGGTGGCCACTCGGCCGTTGGACCAGCTGTAGACGGTGCCGGACGCGCCGCCGCTGAAACTGGACCCGTCCCCGGACATGGCGCAGCACAGCATCGTGTCCTGGTTATCTGACAGAGGGACGAGATGGGTCAGATACAGATTTCTGGGCAGGAAGTTTTGACAACTTAGCCGAACGGTGCCTGTCATGCTTTGTAATATGAACGGAGGAGAGTTGTGTTGGAAAATGGAAATGAAATGCCCTGTATCAGCTACTTACCGAGTTTCCCGAGCACAGCCCGTTTCCAAGTCAGCCCGCCTCCGGAACGGGTCCAGAAGCGAATGTGGCGCACACCGACTGTCATCAGCTTGTGCGGGTTGGTCGGATCAAACGCCAGGTCAAACACCTTCTCTGAGTGACCCCTGTGAGCGGCAGAGGTCAGCGGGAGCGGTCAGCGGGCAGGACCAATCAAGGAAAGAGCCTGATTTCATCTGATGACATCAACATACGGCATCAACTGATGAGAGGAACGCAATAAATCCAATATCAGATTGACCGAGAATAACTGGAAGGTAACATAGTTAGATGTTGTGAACTCATCTCTTCAATGACAGAGAGACCTTAGCCGAATATGTTTTCAGGGGCGTAGGCAGGGGGGGGGCCACTGGGCCATGGCCCCCCCCCTTGGGCGCCGAAGGCGCCCTTTGCGATTGGAGGGCGCCGAAGGCGCCCTCCAATCGCAAATGCAATTGTGATATAATCGAATCGAAAAACAATCGCGACTGGAGGGCGCCCTCCAATCGCGAATGTGTTTACAGGGAAAATACGGATGGAGGGCGCCCTCGGAGGACGCCCATTCCAAATACGCCCTCCAAATACGGTTGGAGGGCTCCCTCGGGCGCCCTCCAACCACATTTGTAGGCTGTAGCTCTCTAAGCGTAACGGTGGTCGCCTATGTAAGCCGCTGTCCTGTAAATAAACGCCCTCTCACCCGAAGGCGCCCTCCTGTAGGTCGCCACCCTGCTACACATTGCCGCCCTTCTGCTGATCGGCGTCCTCATAATTATTGGCGCTCTCCTACCTATTGAGCCCTCATGTGAAATTTTGAACGCCGCCTTTCTCCCTTTTGGCACCCTCTTGTTCAGTGCCGCCCTCCTACCTATTGGTTCCCTAGTCCTTCCTGTTGAATGTTAATCGGGGCCCTTCTCCTATTGGGGCCCTCGTGTAGATCGCCGCCCTCCTAACCACTGGCACCCTCCTGTTGATCACCGCCCTCCTATCCACTGGCACCTTCCTGTTGACCAGCGCCCTCCGCACAGACGCCCTCCTGTTCGTGTCATCCTCTTGAGCAAAGGCGCCCTCCTCACCATTGCCACCCCCATTTTAATCGTCACCCTTCCGCTCATTGGCGACTTCCAGTTGATGACCGCCCTCCCACCTATTGGCGACCTCTTGTTGATCGCCACCCTCCTATTGGTGCTCTCCTGTTCCTCGCCACCCTCTTACCTGGTGGCGCCCTCCTGTTGATTGTTGATCGGCGCCCTCCTACCTATTGGTGCCCTCCTGTTGATCGCTGCCCTTCTATCCATTGGCGCCCTCCTGCTGCTCGCCAACTTCCTACCTATCGGTGCCCTACTGTCGAAACTCGGGATGTTGATCGGGGCTCTTCTACCTATTAGTGCCCTCCTGTGGATCGCAGCCCTTCTACCTATTGGCAACATCCGTTGATCGCTGCCCTCCTATCATTTATTTACTCCTTTGGCATGTTTTTCAACTTAGTCGTTCTATTGCACATAGTTGATGTCTTGCCTGTGAAAACTGCCACAAATGAACGTGCATTCAGCACAATGAATGAAGTATCTATACCTACCAAAACTATCTACGCTCTACGATGCATAAAACACGTCTTTGGTCTTAACGGATTGATCCTACTTTACGTGCATCATGGCATCTATATGGATTACGATTAAGTATTGTCAACAGGTTCGGGCGCAACAGCAGGCATCTGAAGTTTCGGTGATTGAAACTGGTTATGTGGGTACACTGTGTGTATGCATCTGTGAGAAGGCTATGAAGGCTGGTCTGAGGTAATTTGGATGATGTTTACGCATCTCGCGCTCCGGTATCAATCCGATACGGTGATCTGGTGCGTAGATATGCCACCGCCAATAAACTTTTATACATCGACACCCATGAGCCAAGCTTTCTGTACAGTTTGTGTGGCAGCGGCCCGACCAAACCTTAGGTATTTTTTACACCTTCAAATTTGGTAAAAGAGCGAGAGGAGCTTTGAACAGTGATCGTATAAAAGGCGTGCCTAAAAAGCGGAGGAAAAGGTTGTTTTCAAAAATTTCGCGCGCCTTCGGCGCAGCATTTCAAGAACACTTGACCTTTTGTGACCTGGAGTATAATGAATACACACGATGCAAAATCAATGCAGCACGACCTATACGAGGTTACGCAAAAAAAAAACTGGTGGCATGGTAAAAAACGCCTCCCAACCCCCCAACCCCCATTGAGCGATTTTTTTATCTCGCGACCGTATGGCGCCCTCCTTGGGTGAGGTGGCGCCCTCCAAACCCTTGGCCCCCCCCCTTCGCGATTTTCTAAATACGCCGCTGTATGTTTTGACCTGCAGAACGCATGACCGAACCAGACGAGGGCAGGCCCCTTTGCCCCACAGCGTGTGACTGACCTGGCCGAGGCCAGTTTCTGGCCGGTCTGCCAGTTCCAGAGTACCAGCGTGTGGTGGTCGTCGCCGCCGATACTGGCCAGCACGGAGCCCTGCTGACTGAGGGATACGCTGACGACGGCCCGCTGGTGGGCGCCGCTCAGCACGGACAGGGTGTCCAGGGTGGCCGCCGACCAGACGTGGATCGACGGGTCGGCGCCCATCTGCAGGTACGGGAGGGGTGCTAAAGCGTCGGAGAAAGTTCGGCGAAACAGGCGGTAAATGTAGGGGTGAGCAGTCCGGCTGATATACGTGAAACAACGGGAAACGCATAGGAAGAGCGGGTGAAATAGCGGAACAGGGAAGAAACAGAGATGATGGAACAGAGGGAGCTGCGGGCACCGCATAGGGCAACGGAGAACGGTTGAAATAGCGAATGAGCAGCTACAAGGCTCGTCTATAAAACATTGGCCAGATTACACGTCTACATTGTCCGCCTGTCCGGCACATACCCAGCCAGACAAAATGTATCCCCGCCTCACCTGTCCGGTGGCCACCACGTCCGTGCCGGGCTGCACGGTCAGACAGAGAATGTCGTCCGTGTGCTTGTCGTAGAACTGCTGACCCAGTGTGGCCGGATCGTACACTATGCCCAGCGCGGCCAGGTGGTACACCAGGTGACCCTCCTTGCTGAAGTGCAGGTTGTTCCGCGTGTCGTGGCCGCGGTACCTGAGGGATAATCATAATTTCCTGGATAGCATTAAAGGATTCTACGTGAAATAAAATTTAATGAAGCGAAAATTACGTAGTGAATGAATGAGGCGCTGGAAGCGTTGAACGATAAAATGCAAGCCTCCATTAAAACGAGTACAATCGATTTTCATATCTTATTCACTGCAGTTTTTTTTTGGGGGGGGAGATAAGCTCGATAGGACACACTAAGTTCACATGCTCTCTTAGCTCACCCGCCGACAAACTTGAGTTTGAGTCCGGCTTCTGGCAGTTTGGTGTCGGCGTTAGGGGCAGCCCTCTGCCGGGGTACGCCGCGGTGGGAGGCCGACGCCGAGCGCTTCTCGCGACGCTTCCGGCTCACCCTGGCGGCGGCGAGGAACGGCTGTAACTCATTTGTTGATTTACATATGCAAAGCTTTATTACGATAGATTAACAAAATATTGATAGACGCCAAAATAAATAATTGACCAAAAAAGGCATGATACCTCTGCTCTAAGCTACATACCTGGACGGTTTGAGGACGCTCTGCTCGTTCTCAACGTCTGTGTAGATCTCCGGGAAATGTTCCGTGTCCGTGTCTGGCTCGTCATCCTCCGAGACCTGCACACTCTTCCTCACCGCCACTGGGAAACAAATCATAATTACATGAAAATTAAATGATGATCAACTCTATGTAAAATATTGAATGTTTAATTATGCAGCTGGTGGTGCTATGTGCATCGATGTCGTAATTCGTATTAAATATATACAAATTATTTGACGATTTTAGGCATGAATTTATGACGTAACCAGTGGTGCTGCACTTAATCCTCGACTTTCGAACACCTATTACTTTCGTGCCCATTCTTTAAAAAAGTTAAATTGCACCGCTGACGTACCGACGTGTTCACCGGTGTCCGGTGACCCGGTCTGGTACTTCCAGAGGAACACGGATCGGTCCCCGCCACCGATAGACACTACGTGGGTCCTCTCCGAGGTGAACCGTACACCGGTCACGTGCTCCGAATGACCCACGAACGAACGGTACTTGCTGCCTGCAGTGAGAGACGGAGCACGGGATTGTTCAGAAGATGGCACCATCATCTCTAATCAAAAACAGAGTTTGACCTTTATTTTCACTAATGACAAGACGCAACGTTAATTTTAATGAGCGGAAGGGTAACAGACGTGTACAGTTTTTTGTTTACACCAGTTCGACAATCAACAACGCCAAAGGGAGCAGCAGTCTCACCCTTTTTCCTGCAGGGGAACCGGAACAGTTTGACGAGTCCGAAGTCGTCGCCGGTGACGACGACGCCCCCGTCGGTGTCGACATCAGCGCTGTTGATGTCGGTGAGGTCCGAGTAGCGCGGCCAGATACCGCTCAGCTCGGCGCCCAGAACTCCGGTCCGGGAGGCCCAGCGCAGGGAGTCGAGCACGTCCGAGTCTACCTCCTGCTCACCATCTGAGGGGAGGGAGGGAGTCACAGCGAGTCGAGAACGTCAGAGTCCACCTCTTGTTCACCATCTGAGAGTAGGAGGGGGAGAGTCACAGCGAGTCGAGCACGTCAGAGTCCACCTCCTGCTCACCATCTGAGGGGGAGGAGAGGTTAAGGGTCACATGGTTCGCTTTGAGGGTTGATCAAAGAGCGCTGCACTGCAGTATGCAGCCATTGTGTTTTTATATAAATATGATTGCGCTAATTATTTTGTTCTTGGATGAAAATAGTAATACAGCTTCATACCGAACCACGTCCTAGAACTAGTCCCAGAACCGAACCTGCACCCAGTCGCAGCAATAAACACACAGTCCCATGGTCCCAGTCCCAGACCCCACCTGCGGCTCGGTAGGTGAGTCTCTCCCCGGCGCCCGTGTTGATCTCGATATAGCGTCCGTCGGTGCTCCAGTCCAGATGGGTGATATAGCTGGAGGCGCCCTGCATCACGGCCGTCCGCACGTACTCGTCCGTGCGGTACACGTCCACAATACTGTCATGAGAGCCGACCGCCAGCAGGGAGCCGTCCGGGGAGAACTTCAGCTCCGATATGTCCTCCCGACGGTCGGCGAAACGCACCTCCTCACTCATGTCTCTGTGGCGATGAAGAAATGGGCCACAGATCATGATTGGTGATTCGAGATAGAGGGCACTCCAAAACAGCACATTGTTTTCGAGAGAGAGAGAGAGAGAGAGAGAGAGAGAGAGAGAGAGAGAGAGAGAGAGAGAGAGAGAGAGAGAGAGAGGGAGAGCGTGAACAAAGATCGTTAAAAATCTGGCCGGATACTTCACTCACTTGGCGTTGAGTATGACGACGGTGCCGAATTTGAGTCCGACGGCGACTTGGGTCGAGTCTGGTGAGACGGCACAGGACATGGCGGCCAGGTCGAGCCGCGTGGTCTCCAGCAGCTCCCGCTTCTCCACATCCCAGATCCTACGGCAGAGAAAGAACGGTCGAGGGCATACAAGGTCAGTGGAGATAACGGAGGGTTAACGAGGACACGAAGAGGACACATAAAAAATAGACAGGTTGAAACAGACATGTACATAGTTATTATATTTAGTAATTGATTCCGAATGAATAAAAACATAAGTTGTTTGCAATTTAGTCAAACTTACATACAACTAAACCTACTAAACCTCCTGCCACCCACCTAACGGTGTGGTCCTCTCCGGCGGTGGCGAATTTGTAGTTTTCCGGGAACGGGGCCAGGCCCCAGAGCTCCCCCTTGCCGTGACCCTGCATGTAACACTCGTTCACCCCGTCGTGGTGGATGAATATCTCACTCAGCTTTGTGCCGAATAGAAACTGAAAAAAACGTGTCATGTTGAGGGATAGCGTCAGATTTATGCCGATTTCCCGACTTCAAAAAGTAAATTGCAAACAGGTAGAAGGCATTATCCATAACACTTCTTAAAGGAAAAGGGTCACCTTTAACATGGGGTTTGAAACTGAGATGGCCATCTTGTAGCCCGTGTCCGAAAACCCCGAGAGTGTCCCACCTTACGGCCGATTTCGGCCTCCATTTGTAGGTATCGGCAATTTTAAAAGAAAATATGCCAGGAATGCGTCCTTATCCCAGGAATGCGTTCTTATCCTGTAATACAGCCACCCGCGGCGAGGCTTTGGTTTTTAACCAATCAGTTCCAATCAGCTCAGCTTTAACCAATCAGCTAATCTGACACAAGCCGACGAGACTGTCTTCTGAAGGCTGATTGGCTTGAGTGTGATGTCATCGCTATGACATCATACAGAAGGTGCGGTAGAGAGTACAAACATAGTACCAATATGTTAAATAGTTTGACATACTTTTTTGCGAATTGTGCACTTCTGGCACCAGATTTAAAAAGAACATGAAAAATAATAATGTCAAAATGAAAAGCAACGATATCTTCATATTTCACGAAGGTGGCACTTTTCCTTTAAACACCAAATTATTAGATCGACTACTCCGCTTGGCTTGGCGGGCTTTCGCTCCGAACCTTTCCGTGGTCCCAGGAGACAGATGTTACAGCTCCATTACTGTGAAGTGACGGACTGCGAGCTGAAAAAGACGCCACAAATGATGTTGCATTTAGAAGCGTACGACTGAAACTATAATGGATACAAAGAACTAGCAAAGATGTAAAGGTGAATGACTGAATTTAAGCATAGAAATATACAGATAATATCTAAACAAAAGATGTCTAATGAAGCCTAATTTGTTTTATGCGATTGACACCGCAGTCCATTTGCGCATCCGCCTGACTGACCTACGACCGTTTTGCTGACGTCAAAGTGGGCCGTCCACATCTTCACGTGACCGTCTTCCCCTCCGGTGACCAAACCTTCCCGAGCCAGCGCCATACAGAACACCGGACCCTGAAACAAACAGTCATCCGCTCAGCTCAGGACACGGGGGCTATTAATTAACCGTCAGACTATCTCATCTCCACTCCTATAGAAGTGGAGATGAGATAGTTGTTATTGTTATAACCATTGTTATAACAATGACGCCTGCCGTCTTATCGAGGCTGACCACGGCGTGCGATGCGTTACCTCGTGCGCCTCCTCGATGATTTCGTGCAGCTGTTTGTCCCTCCAGATGTACAGCTGCCCTTTCTCGGTGCCGGTCACCAGCGTCTTCTCGGAGATGTAGAGAACGCCGGTCAGTGTAAGTGCGCGACTCGAGTCCCCGAACACTGCCCCGTGGGACCTGGAACCAGTGCGGACCGGCGTCAGTGCGCGACTCGAGTCCCCGAACACTGTCCCGTGAGACCTGGAACCAGTGCGGACCGGCGTCAGTGCGCGGCTCGAGTCCCCGTGGGACCTGGAACCAGTGCGGACCGGCGTCAGTGCGCGGCATAGAGTCCCCGAACACTGCCCCGTGGGACCTGGAACCAGTGCGGACCGGCGTCAGTGCGCGGCTCGAGTCCCCGAACACTGTCCCGTGAGACCTGGAACCAGTGCGGACCGGCGTCAGTGCGCGGCTCGAGTCCCCGTGGGACCTGGAACCAGTGCGGACCGGCGTCAGTGCGCGGCATAGAGTCCCCGAACACTGCCCCGTGGGACCTGGAACCAGTGCGGACCGGCGTCAGTGCGCGGCTCGAGTCCCCGAACACTGCCCCGTGGGACCTGGAACCAGTGCGGACCGGCGTCAGTGCACGGCTCGAGTCCCCGAACACTGCCCCGTCAGACCTGAGAACCAGTGCGGACCGGCGTCAGTGCGCGGCTCGAGTCCCCGTGGGACCTGGAACCAGTGCGGACCGGCGTCAGTGCGCGGCTCGAGTCCCCGAACACTGCCCCGTGGGACCTGGAACCAGTGCGGACCGGCGTCAGTGCGCGACTCGAGTCCCCGAACACTGTCCCGTGAGACCTGGAACCAGTGCGGACCGGCGTCAGTGCGCGGCTCGAGTCCCCGTGGGACCTGGAACCAGTGCGGACCGGCGTCAGTGCGCGGCATAGAGTCCCCGAACACTGCCCCGTGGGACCTGGAACCAGTGCGGACCGGCGTCAGTGCGCGACTCGAGTCCCCGAACACTGTCCCGTGAGACCTGGAACCAGTGCGGACCGGCGTCAGTGCGCGGCTCGAGTCCCCGTGGGACCTGGAACCAGTGCGGACCGGCGTCAGTGCGCGGCATAGAGTCCCCGAACACTGCCCCGTGGGACCTGGAACCAGTGCGGACCGGCGTCAGTGCGCGGCTCGAGTCCCCGAACACTGCCCCGTGGGACCTGGAACCAGTGCGGACCGGCGTCAGTGCACGGCTCGAGTCCCCGAACACTGCCCCGTCAGACCTGAGAACCAGTGCGGACCGGCGTCAGTGCGCGGCTCGAGTCCCCGTGGGACCTGGAACCAGTGCGGACCGGCGTCAGTGCGCGGCTCGAGTCCCCGAACACTGCCCCGTGGGACCTGGAACCAGTGCGGACCGGCGTCAGTGCGCGGCTCGAGTCCCCGAACACTGCCCCGTGGGACCTGGAACCAGTGCGGACCGGCGTCAGTGCGCGGCTCGAGTCCCCGAACACTGCCCCGTGGGACCTGAGAACCAGTGCGGACCGGCGTCAGTGCGCGGCTAGAGTCCCCGAACACTGCCCCGTGGGACCTGGAACCAGTGCGGACCGGCGTCAGTGCGCGGCTCGAGTCCCCGAACACTGCCCCGTGGGACCTGGAACCAGTGCGGACCGGCGTCAGTGCGCGGCTCGAGTCCCCGAACACTGCCCCGTGGGACCTGGAACCAGTGTGGACCGGCGTCAGTGCGCGGCTCGAGTCCCCGAACACTGCCCCGTGGGACCTGGAACCAGTGCGGACCGGCGTCAGTGCGCGGCTCGAGTCCCCGTGGGACCTGGAACCAGTGCGGACCGGCGTCAGTGCGCGGCTCGAGTCCCCGAACACTGCCCCGTGGGACCTGAGAACCAGTGCAGACCGGCGTCAGTGCGCGGCTAGAGTCCCCGAACACTGCCCCGTGGGACCTGGAACCAGTGCGGACCGGCGTCAGTGCGCGGCTCGAGTCCCCGAACACTGCCCCGTGGGACCTGGAACCAGTGCGGACCGGCGTCAGTGCGCGGCTCGAGTCCCCGAACACTGCCCCGTGGGACCTGGAACCAGTGCGGACCGGCGTCAGTGCGCGGCTCGAGTCCCCGAACACTGCCCCGTCAGACCTGGGAAAACAGCGCGGAACGGCGTCAGGGCTGCTGGGGTGCTGAGTGGAAAGGATCCAGCTGCTAGGATGATGATGTTGTGTTGTGGTGTAACGTGAATCGTCACCGGCCGAATAGTGTCTGTCTGTTTTCAACTACGCTTACTTGAAGCTGTTTCCGAGCTGTTGCCAGATGCGGAGGTGGTGCTCGCCGCAGGTGGCCAGTTCGTTCTCTCTGTAGGGGCTCCAGCAGAGGTCGACGACGCGCGCTGAGTGGGCCGTGGTAGAGGCTACGCTGACGCCGCTCTGCCAGCTCCAGACCACCAGGGTGCTCGGATCGTCCATACCCAGCGACGCCAGCAGCTGCAGGGGGTACATACGGAGGGGCATCGGTCAGGTACTTTTCGAAAAGTCATTTAAAAATTATGATCGGTCATGTAACAGAGTTAATTATTCCGTCACTTTGTGCTGCAGATATTGATGGATTATGGCGATCGAGTGTCTTGAGTAGTGATGCGACAACACGAAATCGCCAAAGTTATTTTATGCCATTTTGTTGAAACTTGGTTGAATGTTATGAACTGGTTGCCATTAAATTAATTAGCAATGGTAAACCGTATATCCGGCATTTACGTCGCATGATGAAACATGCAAACAGAGGCGTCATTAGCTGGCTACATATTCCTGGGTCTTACGTAACAGAGGACAGTCCATTTTGCAACAATGTTAGCACTCATTGTCCACATTACACGATATCTTGGAAATAACGTGCATAATTGAGTTTCGTGTTGCAATGCAAGCATTAACAAATCCTTATACATGTTCGTGTATGAAGGTGACCTTATTTTTCCATCGACCCACTCCAACTCACGACGGGCGGAAACTAAATATAGTTTTGCTCGTTTGCAACAAGGCGATGATTCTGTGCAGCCCATAACCAGTAAGTTGGCCTCTTGCGCTGCATCTAATACGCAGCAGAATACAGCAGATGTCACGAATACAGCACGATTGCATGATATTTCCTCGTAACTCATTGCAAAATGCTGATTTAGCGTCAGCGAAGAGCTAAGCCGTTTGAGCTCGACATCAAACGTCGTTCGGTAAACTGGGAATGTTTTAGACCGTCCAGCGGCACGATATTTGACGCAGGGGAATGACCTTGTCGCACCTCCATCGTGACCTCTTCGCGACCTCGCTGTGACCTCTGACCTTTCCGTCGCTGTTGAACTGGACGCGTCGGATGCCGTTCATGTGTCCGTCTTTGAGCACGGAGAGGGTCTCCATGGTGTGCGGGTGCCACACACAGACGTAGGGGTCGTCACCGATCTGTCCGGTGGCCACCTTGGACTTGTCACCGCTCACAGCCAGACTGGGGGGACAGGAGAAGAGTAAAACGGAGTAGCACATGCTTCTGTCTAAAAGTAAATCTAGACGGTGATGATATTGCCTAGGGCCGAAGAACATGAAGCCACACGATATATATCCAATATAATTCGCAAATTGATATTAATTTAGCTCCGAGATGAAATATTGAGACATGATAATACATATTAGGAAGTTACATATTTTGTTCAAATTTTAAGATGATTCCAATATGTTTATTCGATTTTCTCACCATGTGATGTCGTCGTTGTGTCCGTGGAAGTACTTTTGCTCTCGCTCCTTGAGCCTGTAGACCACGCCGACGCCGGCAGTGAAGTAGACGATGACGTCCTCAGAGAGGAACTGGACGTTCCGCTTGGCCACGCCGTTGTAGCCAAAGATCCACTGGAGCCTGAGACTGGCGTCCGGGGGAGCGCGGCCAGTCATCTTGGACTCGTTGTTGGTGCTCAGAGGTCACAGGTCAGAGGTGTTAGGAGAGGTCAGGTAAGAGGAGGCCACTGAACGTAGCTGAGTTTAAACTGACGGTATGATCACCCGTCACTTATATAAGAGTGAGGGCTGATCCTAGACGAGTTTGAATGCCAATTGGCATACAAGACTGTCGCCGGCGAATAGGATGTCAGGCATGTTCCTTGATCCTCGTGTTATCAAGAAGAAGATTCAGTTATGAAAACGTCTTCAATCACTTACTTGACTGGATGCTCACTCAGTTCTAGCGACGCTGCCGACATTCAGTGGCACCACAGACGTTTCCAGCCAGCCTACGGTCAGTCCACCGCACACTGGACTCGGCCACACCGAGTGGGCGCTGTCACGGCACTGCACGGCCGGCCGGCCCCGTCCCGTCGGTCAGCCCGGCTCGATCGGCCCGCTCGGCAGGACCTGTGGTGGCCGGCCCGGCACGCAGCCCTGTGTACCGGTTGCCAGGGCCTCCTCACCAATCAATATACCAGCTAACCCCCCCGACAGCCGCGCCGGTGACAACATTGGAACCAATGGCCGGTCACCACGGAACCGTGCCGCGGGGCGCCAAAGTGGCACGGGTCGTTACAGTAGAGGAATTCAATGGTTGCAGCTATCGGTATGAATAAATAAGTATATTTCGGCGCGGGGTTTTGCAAAATGGAGCAGCACAGTTATGGTTGCGAAACAACCATGAGTTAAAGTTACACTTCCGTGACCGAGCTTGGATGTTAAACGACGAATGTGCTGATAGCATGATTTAACAAGACAAGTTTTTTTTTTTTACTTACGATCGATAATACGCATTCCATATGCTAATATTATTCAAAAATAGCTATTTTTCGGTGCAACTGCACCTTGAACGATGACATTAAATGACACCGTCCTGTTTCTGACGTGCTTCGGCGAGGTTCTGTAAAATGAAGCACACGAGCAAGTAAAGAAGCGAGGGGCAACAAAGTAAACGAGCCAGTGCTTTCTTTCGCTGGCGCAGTAATGGCAATAAAGACGCTTCTTGTTACGCATTGATAATCGCCATATTTGCTGAATATAGAGCATGAAATACCATTCAACTCCTCTGATTAGATTCGATTCCATTATTTATACAATGGTGCGTATATAATCACCGAACATGGTTCAGAAGAAGGCGCCGCACAACCACAGTCCGCTGGAGGCTCCGTCGGCCCGCTCCTCGGCCTCTCGGCTCTCCTCCCTGGAGAACCGCAAGAAAGGGGGTCTGGAGGGCAGTCTGGACGCCACTGGAGCCACCGGAGACATGCTTAACCAGCACATCTCTCAGCAGCTGTTTGTGGGAGACATCGGGCCAGAGCGGAAAACGTCCAACCTCCGACGACTCAGGTGGGTGCGGGACTTCCTGGACGTAATGACGGCTCTAGGGAAACGTACGAATGAACTTCAGAGGATATCACGCATCGTCGTACTCAAAGACTTGATCATTGGCAGATCAAGTTGCCAATGATCAAGGCAACTTGATCATTGGCATCATCAAGTTGCCAATGATCAAGTTGGCAACTTGATGATGCCAATGATCAATCTGGCAAGAAGATTTTGGCAGAACCTTCTTGCCAAAATCGTCACAACCTGCTTATTTTGTCTTACAATATGCCTACCTACAATTTTATTAGCCTTTTCGTATAAGGAAAACCATAGCCTTATTTGTGTAGTTAGGTGTATCGGCTTTCCACCGATGGCTGCCGGAAACATACTGAAGTTGTGTTGGTTCTGATTTCCCTGCTCAGCTTCTTCGTCCCTAACCCAGTATCTGCTTGCTGGATGTAATATCGTGCCCTCTGATTTTGACGCCGGCGTCTCGTCCCTCTGACAGGTCAGTGATCCCGGGCGGGGAGGCGGCCGCGGCCAAGCGGGCCCAGCAGCTGGCCACCCACACGCCAGACGTACTGATCGCCGACCAGGATACGCAGATGCCGCACAGAAAGGACACCAACGCCATCACCTTCTTTGTCGACGTCTCCGGTATGAGGGCTAGGTGGGAATCATGGGAATGAGAGAAGTCGATCACAGACATCCGGTCAATAGAGTTTTTCAGGGTTTACGAAGAGAAGGCAAAATTATAATTTGGGTTAACTGGACGGTGGTCGAAATATGCTAAACATAAAAGATATTTGTGGAGGAATTGATGGGTACCCAACGTTCCTTGTATAGCTACCTTTCTCTGTTACGGCATCATTCAATGTGTGTTAACTAGATGTAACTATTCTGGAGCAGCTGGTTTGTTTGTTACCCTGCTGATGTCTCCCCCTGACTGTCAGGTTTTACCGCTCTGACGGAGAAATACACTCTGAGCGGGCGCGGCGGCACCGACAAACTCACCGAGACGCTCAACAGCTACATCGGAGCCCTGGTAGAGTGTATCCTGCGCCGGGACGGTGATGTGCTGCAGTTCGCAGGTCAGCTCCCAGCTTTACGGTCCGAGTGTTCAGTAAACGCTATGATAATTTATCTATCAATTTTCAATAATTTACCATACAGCTAAGTGATCGAAGATTGATTTGCGTCCACATAATACCCAATAGATCGACAGTACTCAATATATCCCAAGCTTGCATTCAGCAGCACAAGTTATAAATTCGCGCTCCCCTCATCTGTCTGTCCGTCCGTCCCGAACGCGCACCGTCCTGACCCGGCCGCGGTCACCAAGCGCCCCAGGCGCAGCGACCTCGCGACAGCCAATCAGGGGCCGCGCGGCGACCTCGCGACAACCAATCAGGGGCCGCGCGGCGACCAGCCCTGGCGAGCGAGCAGAGCCGCGGCGCCGAGTTGGACGGCTGCCAGCTCATTGCCTTCATTATTTAACACAAAACCCGGCTAATACCGGAAATATTAAAACTGTACTTGGCTTGTAGTTCCCCGTGCATTGCACATTTATTTTGCTAATGTATCTTCGGGAGCTACTAACCCGTCCGTTTTCTGCAACAGGTGACGCCATTCTGGCCATGTGGGCGTGTAATTCGGAGGCCGAGATGCCTGCAAAACTGGAGGAGGCCACCGCCTGCGCGGTCCATATCCAGGAACACTACGGAATCCGGACCACAGACGTCGGCGTCCGGCTCAAAGGTCGGTGGGATGTGGCAGCGGTACTGGTGAGCGGTGACAGTCCTCAGACTGAGCGAAGTTTTATAGGGTGGGCTAATACCTTATACATCAACATGTGCATTGTGCATGGGTGCGTAACTGCATATCGCATTAGGAACGACTGATATTTGACGGATTATCGCCCAACATGTGCGTCCATGCAAATTTCCCCAATGCATTACAGTACACATTTCCAGTTGGCTGACGTACCCACCTACCTTGCCTTGCAGTGAAGGTCGGTATCGCCTGCGGTGAGGTCACCATGTTTTTCATCGGCCTGCGCAGCTGCAGTCAGTTTGTCATTGTCGGCTCGGCCGTGGACGACGTCAACGCCAGCGAGAACCAGTGCGAGTCAGGAGACGTGGTCGTCTCGCCGATGGCCTGGGCCATGATGAAGGCATCCACCTGCTACGACGCCGATCCGCGAGGGAACACTGGGTTCATGAAGGTAGGAGTTTTACCCGGGCGGCATATGACAGGATCCGGGAGCATATTGCAGGACGGCGCTTCAGATAGCGCTGTAGTAGAGAGTGATACAGCTGATGTATTTCTAATGAAATTTAACGTATGTGATCGACAATGACGGTGTTCTGTGTGCCTGCCATCAAGCATTCACAAGTCACCATCACAGCATGATGAACGCACATGATGACGGTGCTCTCATTCGCCCCGTTCCTCAGGTGAGACACGCAGTTCGAGACGACAGTGACCGAGACAGCAAGGAGGCCATCGACCTGGCCTCGGTTCGACAGTCCATCGCCGTTCCTAGCTCCATGGAGGCCAAACTGACGCCATACGTCATCCCGCCCGTGCTGAAAAAGGTGCAAGGAACACGCTGCTCAGCTAGAGTCACATATTATCGTAGTTTGTTAGGTGAATCTTGCTATCAGCGAATGTTATTCATGCATTGTGGATGCTTGTTAGGTGAATCGTGCTGTCAGTGGATGTTATATGATGCATCGTGGATACTTATTTTCATTTCCTTCACTTATTGGTCAATCAGCGCTCAGTTTCAGCCGTTCAATTATGACGGCGGACGACGTACCGTGCCGGCGGAGAGATGTGCCTTGCGGCACAGCATGCAGCAGGCGCTGAATAGCAGTGACATCTAGCGACTATAAGACGAACTACTGCGCATTGCGGCGCAGTATCTAGCAGCCCGCCCGAAGTCGGGCCGCAGCAGCGTGACGAGGGGCGGTGATCATCACTGATCACAGTGGTCTGTCATAAGCGTTGCTTTTTATCTGAAGATAACTCGCAGCCTTTTGCGTTCACTCAGCTATTCGCTTGACGTGCCCGCCATCTTCCCGGTATCTCTGTCTCTATTCTGTCGTTCATGCCCGTCGTATCCCGTGCGTTTCCCACAGCTAGCGGACGACCAGCCGCTCGAATACCTCTCCGAGATGCGCCAGGTCTCTATCGTATTCTGCCAGCTCGCCACGGACGGGGTGTCGTCCGAACTGCCCTCCATCCTGCAGGATGCCTTCGTGGTCATGCACAAGTCAGTCAGACAGTGAAGGCCGTTTATAAGTGACAGCTAAATTAGCAAAGCCTTAGAGTCCCCGTTGCGCCCGAGACTCAACATATCTTTAATCAGACAATCATGGTCTTCTGGCTTTGTGTTTGCTAACTTTTTAAAATGAAATGTTCAAGTGACGTATTTGGCAAACGTGATCATGATCAATGCTCTCAAATTGTCCCGAACATTGACAGACTATTTTAACTCTCCGACAGAAAGATAACGGCGGTAAGCGGCTGCCTGAACAAGGTGTTTGCCTTCGACAAAGGCATCACGTTCTTGGTCATATTCGGCCTGCCCGGCTTCAAGCACAAGAACGAGGTGGCGCACGCGCTGCAGTGCGCGGACGCTATCTCCCAGGAGCTGCTGAAGGAGGTCACCGGCATCAACCGCGTCTCCATCGGCGTCACCACAGGTCAGGTGCTAGGTTCTGATTATTTTTCGGGGAATGCAAGTGCTTGCTGCACGTATGTACTTTGTTATCTCATGGCCTGCTGCTCTCCCCTTGTCTTCAAAGATGGGTGGAGCCAGTCCCCGTCTCTCGTCGCTGATTGGTTGTCTGTGTGTGTCAGGGCCGACGTTCTGCGGTGTGATTGGTCACCCGGCTCGACACGAGTACACGGTGATTGGACGAACCGTCAATAAGGCAGCTCGACTCATGACCAACTACCCGGGCGTTGTCTCCTGCGACGAGGTAGCATTCACAGCGAACGTGCCGGATATTGGGAGGGAGCAGCTAACTTTGACACTAATTCTTACAGAGTTGCGATTGTATTCGTCATATAACTGTCCTAAAATTAGTTCAAAATCCTGCTTGATTACCTTGGTGATGTGTTTTTTTATGTCATTGTGTCCTTGCCCGGTCAACACTACATAGCTAAGCCGATAAAAGATAACTAGTCCCGCATCTTTGGTTTGATCCCATACGAACGACTGGGATCGGACGGGTAATGATGCGGGCCTGACGGTCCAGTAAGGTGGCGGGCCCGTTCATCGCCCAAGTATTGGCACTCCGCGGCAGTCGACGGCGGCCGAAAAAAGGGTTGCACTCCTGGCTTTCACTACTGGTCAGACTAGAAGCTGCATGGTTGAGCTAGCGTCTTCCATAGAAAGGATACTGAAGAATGTTCACCAAATGCTCACTGACACTGACGTGCGTGTGTTACAGGACAGCTACTACCACTCCCACCTGCCGATACAGCAGTTCAAGAAGCTGGAACCGAAGCCGCTGAAGGGAATACCGAACCCGGGAAACATCTACCACTTTGTTCCATCTGACGGGTCAGTGGGCCGAATAGTGAATACTGCGGAATAGAGAGGAACGGGGACAAATGTGTTTTGCTGAACTTACTGTTCCCTGAACACGCTTTCTTCTTAAATATTCATGGGTCTCGGAATCAATCTACGCCTTGGGTTGACAAAGGCATATTTTTTTTCCAGATTGCGCACTAACTCTTTTTCCTTTGCAACTTTCTTAAACATTGCTCTTTATGCTCGGTCATATTCCTTATCTTCAAAACTATATTTGTTGTACTTGTGGCTCGTCGAGTTTCACTGACTGGCCACCGTCCGTTGTTTCAGAGAGTTGGGACAAAGGCTACCCCAATACAAGTACCCGCTATTGGGCAGAAAAGAAGAGATCAAAGACTTCACCGAAAAAGTCAAAAACATCAAGGTAAGCTGACTAATGCTCATTACCATTGCTGTCCTCCTGTCCGCCTTTTCAATCACTTGTACTCAAGCAGTAAAGCCTTTTGTATAACATCTAGGAATCCTGTATTCTCAGGAGACGGACGTCCGTATAATCGTGTTTGAGGGAGAGTCGGGGATTGGCAAAAGTCGACTGCTGGACGCCCTCGTATCGCTGGCCAAGAAAAACGGCTGTATGGTGAGATGATATTTTGTTATGTACGGAGCAGCGCAACGACATTTTCGAGCCTTACTCAGGCCTCGATTCGTTTCATTTATTTTAATGCTTCTTTAATAAAACCGGTGTCGGTAAATTTCACTTGCCACTCGTGTTTGTTTGCATGCTCAGGGAGCGCAGATGACGATCGCCTTATGTTTCCTGTTTGTCAGCGTTTTTTGTTGGTCTGTTCAGGTGGCGCAGGTGACGATGACTCTCCAGCTGAGCGGTATCCGCGGGTACGCGCTGAACGGCCTCTTCACCCAGCTGCTTGGCCTGCACCAGTACCGCACCGCCAAGGAGAAGGAGGTGCACGTCATGGACCACTTCAAGGTGAAACAATACGTCTGCTTCCCACTCTGAACTCTGAGTAATGTAAAACGTTATCATTGTCCTATCTAATTTCACGCTGTTCTACTCACGATGCATTAAACCGATGACATCCCAGCAGTAAGAACTGACAGCCTTGTCTTTTTTTGTTGCACACGTCAGGACAAGCGTCTGGGCGAGGATTTGTGTCTGCTAAACGACCTGCTGCAGCTGAAGCTCCCAGTCAGCCCAAAGATAGCCCAGTCTGACGGGCCGACTCGAAAGAAGATGACGACTGAGCTTCTCTGGTGCATCCTCAAAGAGGTAGGGGAAGTTGGGGCAATGCCGGAGTTGGGGCAAAGCCGAAATTCGAGATATTTCGAAAACCGTAAGACATGGATGCCACCTGTCAGTGATGCTCTGAAGCTTAAGTGACTACAATTATCGCATGTTTGTTACGAGTCGTCATTCGGAATACTTCGACTGTGAGGGCGCCAAGAGCGTTTTCAAGGTACGTTTCCCTTGTACTACATGCGCCTTTGAAGCTGCATTTTTTACTCATTATGCTACCGTTTGTCTGGCCAATTCGGTCAAGTAATCTTTAGCATGTCTTTGCATAAAGGTCGTTCTCCACGGTACATGTTTTGCGCGTTTTTAATGACGTTTTAACGCTTTTTTGATGTTTTGCGAGTTTTTCATGATCCGGCGTTGATCTGTACCATTAAATTACACGGTGCCATCTCCACGGCGGATGATTTGTCAAAAATCGAAAAACGCGTGGCTTCATAAAATTAAAAAACTGCAAAACTCGTAAAACGCGTCAGTTGTGTCATGCAAAACTCGTAAAACTTTTAAAAAGCGCAAAACTCGCATTTGTAAAAACGCGCGATTTTATCCAAACATTTGGATCGAATGAAAGTTTTCCGGTTTTTGAGAAGGCTAAAGAGGTAATCATTCTGCTATTAATACCATTTTACGGTGAAATAGATGCAATGGAAAGTGTGGAAAGCGATGAAACGCAATTTGATTAAGCCAATGATCATGGCAAGTACTCAGACAACCATACCAATAACTTCTATTGCTATTCCAACGATGTGGATGTCAAATAATTACATAGTGAGTCTATGGATAACAGATATTACGATATCAGATCATTTCAGATAATTGATAATTAACTGATGTCATAGCGGTGATAACAATAGGGTAACGTGATGATACCCCTATAACTATCTTTACAGCGAAAATCGAGGGGTTAATAGAAGCCGTGCGCCAGATACCTGCCCTGTGGGACAAGAGGGCCACGGCATACAGCACACGAAGGGCGGAGATAGATGTTCTCACTCTGAAATTGAAATTGTTCTGAAATTGTAATTGTTCTGAAAGACTGACAAACTAAAACCGTGTCCGTAAAAAGCGAAAAACTCGCAAAACTCGCAAAAGCGTCTGTAAAAAAGCGAAAAAAGCGAAAAACTCTCGTTTGCTAAAACGCGTAAAAACCGAAAATGTTTACACGTGGAGACAGTACTTAAGTGTGCTGCCTATTTGAAATTTATACAGCACGTTGAAAAGTTATGGGCCTGCAAATGAAAGTATGGCTGGCTGGGGTAATGCCGAAAACGTGCGATTACGCACGTGTTAAAAGCACGCTACGTGGACTTTACTGCTGTAGAATAGCAACGCGTATTTTTAGTCACACAAATTACACTTTCAACCGACACAACGGCCTGTTACCTATAAGGAATGATTTACCTGGCATTTTCTTATTATATCACACAATTATAACTTCCAGTGTGCACCGCGTCCTCAAGCTCTTGAAACGTGTGTCAGCTTTGATGAATTCTGGATAAAGTTTGAGATAAAATGGCAAAACATCAATGTCGGCATTCCCCGTAGATCATTTCTCCCATTTTCGGCTTTCCCCGCAGTCCGGGGCAACGCCGAAAAAGTCACTTCTTTGACATTTTTAGTTTGTGCGCTTAACGGTATGCGAATTCATCAAATGCGCCTGGTATGTTTGAAAGGCAAAAGACTGGCCTCTCGAATGACGCCAACAAGAATAGAGTATGTTGTCTATCTTGCGTGCTACGGGCGTCAGAAAAAAAGTCTTCGGCGTTCCCCCAACTTCCCCTATCACAAGCGTGCGGTCGCAGTGAATAGTATTCCTCTACAGGCAAGGATGAATGGTGCTCCCCTACAGGTGTGGATAAATAATGCTCACCTACTGGCGAGGATGCATGGTATTCTCCTACAGGCGAGAGAGGCAGTTGTTCCTCTACAGATGTTCCCTACAGGCGATAAAACCGATGTGATTTTCTTGTTCATTGTGTTCCAGTTCATTTCATGCGCTATTTTAAGCTAAATCGGATTTCGTCGCTGAAAAAGTCGCTGGCGTCGACACCATTTTCAAGGGCTTTCACGGATTTCACGGATTTTCATGGACGGACTGCAAGCTGCAAACACAAAGATGGTGAATTAATACAGCACAGTAACTCCAACTCGTCTACCTTGTTCACTGTGCAGCACACGGAGATGTCTGCGGGCGTGGTGTTTGGCATCGACAACGCGCACTTTATGGACGACACGACGTGGTCCTTCCTGGAGACCATCTCGTCGACGGCCGACGCGGTGCTCTGCGTGCTGTCCATGATGCCGCCGTCGCCGCTGCACCCGCTGCCCGACATGGCCACACAGACTCTGAAGGTGGGGAGGGAGGGGGGATAGTGTCCGATATAGCCACACAGACTCTAAAGGTGGGCGAGGGGGAGGGGGATAGTGTCCGACATGGCCACATAGACTCTGAAGGTGGGGAGGGAAAAGGGGAGATACTGCCCGACATGGCCACACAGACTCTGAAGGTGGAAAGGGGATAGGGAGGGAGAGATACTGCCTGACATAGCTACACAGATTGTGAGGGTGGGGAGGGGGAGATACTGCCCGACATGGCCACACAGACTCTGAAGGTGGGGAGGGAGGGGGGATAGTGTCCGATATAGCCACACAGACTCTGAAGGTGGGAGGGGAAGGGTTCGGATGGATGGACGGAGGAAGAGACGCAAAATGCTTCTTTCAATTCGTTTGAACTCAGGCAAAGTTATCCCCGATAATCCTATTTCTGTTGCGCATTAATGGACAATATCGATATGATTAAAGCAATGTCTGCTCTGATTTCAGTCGAAAGGCTTGACGCACGTCAGGATGAAGGGCCTTGAGAACGAGTACCTGACCGCCCTCGCCTGTCAGATCCTGGAGGTCAAGGGCGTCCCACACGAAGTGGTCAAGTATGTTGTGTTTCAACTTTCACAACATTTTACTGCATGACGTTCATTCGTTGCCTAATTTTTACGCGTTTTCAGATACTATTTATTATATGGAACACTCTGAATGACACTACTTGCATAATATAGCATAATTTTTACGGGTTTGTATCGTACTGATTTGCACATTCTTTTCAGTACCTACTCCACGTTCCCAAAAATATCTGTCATAACATTCACATAGCACAATGGCACAATGAACCGAGCTCAATTACACCCTAAGCTCAGTGTGCTGACTGATGTCGCATTGTCAGGCTGCTGCAGGAGAAGTCGCACGGCATCCCCGGCTGGTGCGAGCAGCTGCTCGGCGACATGTTCCAGAACCAGTTCCTCCGGGTGCTGCCCATCACCAGCAACGCCTCGCAGGACAAACACAAGCGGATTGTGTTCGCCAACCCCACGCTCGTCACCAAACGCTCCAGTGTGCTGGTGAGCCGCCGGGCGGCGACAAGCTGCTAGTGGGATGGGGAAACCAGTAAAGACATTACAATACGTTATAGCGCCACTTTTTTTTACTTGTTGAAAAAAGCACTTCGCAAGGATACTACATATATTTTTTTTCTGAGGAGCGGATAAAAATTTATTTCCGTTTGGTGGAACACACAAATATTTCTGGTGTTGCAGATAATGTTACTATTGTGTATCATATAAAAGCTCCCATGTGTCTCTGAACCATCGTTCCCTCCCCAGAGGACGGTGGCAGCCTCTGACAGCGTCCACGCCAGCAGCTCCGAGACCGCTGCCGCTGCCGCCGCCGCGGTCCCTGAGCAGTCGGAGAAGCCCCGGGCTCAGATGATGGCACGGCGCGAGTCCAGGGCCACCAAACCGTCCGCCGCTTCAGCCGAGGTACGGAACAACATCCATATCCATAACATGTGTAACGAACAGTAGCTACATGCCCGTAAGTACTCAAATGCGCACCATCGATGCCCTAATGACGATGAGTTCATTGGGCGCAGTAGTAAAGTGGCATTTCTTACTTTTTGTCGTTTCAGGCGGAGTCACCGGACGGTCAGAAGAAGGACAAGTACAGGAAGAGAGCCAGTGTGTTCGACAAGCTGCTCGGTAGAGACAAAGTAAGAATCGCAGGTATTCCTGCATAGTGAAATTGACGATCTAAGCCGTTAATTGGGCTGCTGACTTGATGCGGAATTTAACTGTTTTGTGATGGTCAATAATAACCTGTGGTGTTTTTTTTTTTTTTGTATGTAAATTCATTTGCGGCATAGCGTGTTTGATGCTCAGCTCACCCTCATTCTCGCGACACCACACTGAATAAAAGGCAAGTGTCTTGCGGCACAGCATGCGTCAGGCGTTCGTGTGTCTTGCGGCACAGTATGCGGCAGGCGCACACCACGCGCGACATCTATGAGCAGAGTTGTGAGCTATCGGGCCGGGCGGTACAATTGTGAATTTATAAGTGGTGTTTGGGATGGGGATAAGGATGAGGATGATTGGGAGAAGGATGAGGATGTAGAGTGGGTAAAGGATGGGTGTGAGGATGGATTCAGGCCCGCCTACTGGCTGTTGTCGTAGCTTCTGCTAATATTCCTCGTGTGTCTAGGGGTATTCTAATCTGTGTCATCTGCACAATCCTATCATCGTTGTCTAGGGGTATCGTCTTACTCTCAACAATCATTTAACCGTCTATAGTTGTATTTACTGATCGACCAAAAACTATGCGACCCACAAACCCTTTCGTGTCCGAATCTTCATATTGCCAGCGTTCTCACCGACATTTCCAGCCTCGAAAAAGAACGGAGTAAGATATACATATTAAATATGTATTGAAAATGAAAAGGCCGAAATAAATAAAAGCGAACAAATTAAACAAAAGTACAAGAAAACGAGCAATGTCACGGTAACCGTGCACTGCTAAAATAAATATTGCCAAAGTGCTGATTGCCGAAACATTCAATGGAACCCGAAACAATGATCAAGCCGAAATCATGACACCGAAATAATATTGCTAAAGGGGTGGAACTGACTCATAGCAGCCAAACGTGCCGAAATGGACTGAGTCGAGTCCCGAAACACGGTGTCTCAAAAAGACATATAGACCAATCAATCGAACCTAAAAACTGCCCACAGTACCGCGGCCATCCTGAAATGTTGTTACCTACGCCAGTGTGACTAATGTGCGTGTCTGTGCCTGAGACATATCTCCGACCGCAGCAGAGACTCAACCGAAGTCAGGCTCTAGCCCTTTCACTCCGCCGGTCGGAACCAGTGTCGTGGATAGGGCTTGGCAAGAGTCCGGTTAGAGACGTCCGACTGGGCAGGAGATAAGGCCCAAGAACTTACATGTTTGTAGACCAGACGCACAAGGCGACCACCACGGGCGGCGTCGGGACCACCACTGCCCGCGCGCGAACCAGAGAGCAAGAGCCCGAGAGAGAGAGAGAGAGAGAGAGAGAGAGAGAGAGAGAGAGAGAGAGAGAGAGAGAGAGAGAGAGAGAGAGAGAGAGAGAGAGAGAGAGAGAGAGAGAGAGAGAGAGAGAGCGAGAGAAGGTCTCGAACGCGCCTATTTATACCTTCGCACATTCACCGCACAGGGCCGCGCCCGTCTCTAGCCCGTGCCGTCTCGGGGCTGGCGCGGCCGGCGATCGGCGCCATGGTATTTCTATATAGCATTCACATATCTTACCAATTGTCATATCGCAATATTCTAATCTACCACCACCATGGTGCAATGTAGCATCATTATCCGCTCCCTATCGAGTATCGAACAATGCACAACAATCTGTACCGGTGTTCATACTACCGACAACGTTTAAACTACACATGCCGCCACCTGCAATTGCATATCTAAATACCGTCACCGCTATTGCCGCAAGCATGTCAAAATAACATGTCGCTGCGTAACATTCAGGTCAACGCACCATCACTCCAATCAGTGTGCCGTGCTTTGTGTGTCGCGTATCTGAACAGCCACGCCGTAATTATCGCTCGGACATAACCATGTACCTTCTAAATGTGTATTCCTCATCACCCTTCCTGATGTTGATAACACGAAACTCACTCGATGTCTTGTTGCTGCAAAAGTACCGATGCAATGCGCCAGCTGTCCCTATTTCCGACTGTCTATCCACTGCGCGACTGCCTATCTGGAATATTTTTGTTACACTGTTCCAATAACAGGATATCGCCATTTCACGGTTCGCATAATTAATCGTTAGACGGGGTACCTTCATCTCACATTCCCTCGATGACCGCGAAAGCAACACCTCGGTCGTTCGGTTTGTCTCTCAGTTCATACTTGTGCAGAAGTAGGTGTGCAGAAGATACGAGTTGAGTTGATAAGAAATCGGTCGCACCGAAGAGCCGGCATTGCTGCTTTGCATGTAGATCATGCACTGTCCATGGTCTGTCCGCTCCATTCCAGCCGAAGTACTGACAGCGCGCGCTCAGGGTCAGAGCTGAGCAGTGTACGACCCTCCCGCAACCGCGGGCTGCCGCTCGTTATCTGGCACCGAT